CGAGATATTAGAGTGATTGTTTGAATCATTTCAGTTCAAGATACTGTATTACTCAATCAAAAATCATAAATTTGATTATTTCTCGGATATGATATTTATTTCAACGCTGCGGAGCAGCATGGGTCCTCTAGTTTAATTATACTGTACTGCATTTTTGTTTTAGTGAATGATACTGAGGTATTGGCCATTTAAATTGTAGGTATGCATTCAGTCTCTTTTAGAATTCAATGTAATACCTAAGTTTTTTTTTTATATGTATTAACGGCACTAGGCTGCCTATAGAACCTTTACCATAAAATAAAATACAACGTCGTAGGGGTACCTTCACCACAACTAAAAGAAAAGTATTTTTTAATAAAGGAGTACAATTTAGGTTTAGTTGTTTTATCAACTGTGGATATTTAACTCTATAGCCTAACATCCAATAACCAATGACTCTACAGTAGATGTTTGTAGAAACCGCCTCTGTGTTGTATCCAGTCAAAGGAAGGTTTATCCAACTAGTAATGAATACATGTATTACCAATACTAAATGTTCAAGTAACTAGATATACTATCAATGTTGATTTACATAATTGATTTTTCCGTCTGTTCACTCATTTACGCAAACTTCGCCCTTTTAGCGAATTTCCCATATAGGGAATAAGCTATTACCGTAGTACTCATGGTAAGACCTGGACCCGGGACCGATTTAATTTTTCATTTTGAGGTCCCTAGAGGCCAAAAACACCATCCGTTCAAATTCATATATATATATATATATATATATATATATATATATATATATATATATATATATGTGTGTGTCCGTTAGCAGGATAACTCGAGCAAAAATGATCCGATTTTGATGAAATTTGGTACAAACGTGTAAACCTACGTTTATTCGAACGAGTTCGCGATCCAGCATAATCGGACCATGGGAACGGGGGTTTATGGGGGGTTTTATGGGGTAAAAATGGGTTTTCCCATTTTTGACCCTAAAAACAAAACAAAATTGCAATTTCTTTTCAAACCATTTTGTAGAGCTTAAAAAAATAAATAATTTAGTATATTGAAGCGCTGTTTTATGCATAACGGTCACAGAGAAAATTAAAAAATAGTGTAATTTAAAATTCCCATGTTATTCTTATGGAGAAAATGAAAATTGTTGTAGTTTACTTGTTTATGGATATATATTGATAAAATTTGGCAAATTTATTTATTTCATCCTATTCTATTGAGGTATGGTCAAAAATCACTTTTTACCTTCCCCGTAGCAGCAAACCTAAGCACTCGTTAAATCTAATGTTATTTAAATAGGGAATAAATACCAATGTCTTATTTATGGAAATATTTTAGTAAAAATGTAATCAGAGAAGTTGAAATTCGCTTAGTCTGCAGGTTTGCTGCGGCGGGGGTATTTAAATATACTTACTGACACGGTAAAATTAGTTTAGATAGGAAAGAAAAGAAATATGTTCAATTTTTCCAAAAACCCCTTTCTATATAGTTAAGACCTTACGTAATACATACACGTAGGTTATTAAAAAGCCAATCTATATATATTACAATTTCTTACAACAATCGAAAAAATATACAAATACAAATTTTTTAGTAGTTTTTCTAAAAAAAAAGATCTATTATAACATTCTGCTTTAAGTAATTTAAACTTGAAATGTTTATTTACGTTATTCGATCAGCAGAAACACGTGAATTAAATTAATCAAAACAAACGATTAACTCCTCAGATCCGGGTGTTTTGTTTTTACTTCATCCATGACAACCATTCGTGATGACAACCAACAAACTTAGTCTGTGCTTTCTACGAAAAATGACCCCGGAGTTGAAATCAGACTATTCACTTTAAACAAGTCTAAGCAAGAACAACTAAACAGTAAGTACTGGATGGATTCTTTTGCTTTTATATTTAATTACGAGAAACCTTGCTCAAAACTGCCCATTATTTCATAAATTGCCCTTTAAGGTCATAATTCCTTTCTAAAGGGAACTTTCCACCTAATGGACCTAATAACCTGGAGGCGAGTTAGCGTAGCGAACGAGCTATCCTGAAAACAAGTGAGCGCAGCGAACGAGCTCCAACCTAAAGGTGAGTGAGCGTAGCGAACGAACTTCAACTGGGACGTGATTGAGCCATGCGAATTAAATACTTATGAAGTTAAACGGGGCAAAGCCCGTGGGTACAGCTAGTCATAAATGATGCTGTAGCCGATGTGGTAAAATTTGGGAGAAAACTTGACAAAAATTGCACAAAATTGGGTTTTTGAACGTCCGTTATTTTAGTAGTGAAGCCATATTTTAATGGCTAAAGATACTCTCGCAAATCCAGTGTGAATATCGATCTATGCTCTAGTTTTTAGGAGAAGGCCGCGTAAAATGCCTTCTGGTGCATACATGTCAGTGACAGCTAGAAGTGAGAATTAATCCAAACTGTTCGTTATTTCATAAAATCTGATAGTAAACATTAGGAGAAAACTTGACAAAAGTCACACAAAATTGGGTTTTTGAGGGTTCGTTATTTTATTTCCTAAGTAGCGAGGCCATATTTTAAAAGCCAAGGACACTCACGTTAATCCGGTGAATACTGAAAAAATGATTGGAATCTTGATCTGTACTCCAGTTTTTTAGGAGTAGGCCGCGTAAATTGACATTTTGGCGGTAAAGACAGAATGACAGAGCGATAGACAAACATACAGACAGACAGACAGAAATTGAGATAAAACTCATTTCGGCTTTCTTAGGCTATGAAACGTAAAAATAACTAAATACTGCACGATTCTACGCAATGTACAAACAAAACTGTAATTTTATTTATACAGATTTACTACATAGCCTTAATTTTGACAACTCTTGTCTATTAAGAATTCCACCTTCAAATATCACCTCTTATATTATCTTTACTACAGGCTTCAACGAATGGTTGTGTTGTGTCAAATCTTATACTGACAGGAAGCGGTTTATATCCGTTTCGATTCGACTTTTACCAAGGGACGTAGAACACTCTGTTGTATCCATTAGAGTGTTTTTAAACTCATTAAGCTCACTTGGGCACCTACACTATCAATGCGAAGTCGGCAGATTCTAGTCATACTACGCAATAGTCTGCAATCCTTTCAAACTGACTAAGAAGAAATTTCCCTTAAAAGCTACCATTGCTATGACTTCCACTATGAGATCCACTTCGATCAATCTAATTCTCTTTGAAGACCACATGGTTTTGGCATTTGGGTAAGGACTACATGTTGACTGCATTTATCTTGATTACTCGAAGGCTTTTGACCGAGTAAGTCATAAACATCTGCTGGGCAAGTTGGAGGCCTACGGTGTGACCGGTGCACTTTTTAATTTAATCAAATTATATCTGACCAATCGCTCCTTGATGGTAAGGCACTCGTTGGCCTTATCATATCCGATTAGTGTCACTTCGGGCGTCCCTCAAGGGTCTCTGCTTGGCCCTTTTTTATTTAACATCTTCATAAATGACATCATAGATATCCTGGACGTTAGGTTTCTCCTCTTTGCAGATGACCTGAAACTCTTCTGTGAGATTTCCTCAAAGGATGACAATGCTCGCCTTCAGAGAAACCTTAACAATGTTATTCATTGGTGCCAAATCAACTCTATGGACCTGAATGAGAAAAAGTGTGTAGTAATGCAGTTTCAATTACCATATAGGTCTTCAAGTTCTGCAGTCTGCCAAAGAGGTCCGCGTCTTGGGGGTACTCTTCTCACCCAACCTTCACCCTGGCGCTCACATATCTTGCATATGCTCCAAGGCCTACTCCGTGTTCGGTTTAATCTTCAGAGCAACTAGAGGATCCTTTTCTCTTACCACCATTAAAACTCTCTACATGACTCTCGTTCACTAAATTCTGGAACACAAATCAACTGTGTGGTCCCCTTACCAACTGGGATTGATTAATTAACTATAAAAAGTCCAAACCCGTTTTCTTAGATTGATTGGAGTCAAGATGGGTCTTCGATACCCGGAAGTTGAAATCAACGAGATTGGTCAGCTTCTTGGCCTCCCGCCGTTGCTTATATAAGAGAGTTTATGGACGCAGTATTCCTCTACAAGATAGTAAATGGTTCATTTGACTGTTCTGAGCTGCTGGGTAAGATTGATTTCTACATCCCTCGTCATTCCAGACATCAACAATATCTCTACTCCCCCACATTCAGCACAGCCAGATCTCGCCTGATGCGCACAGGGAACAGCAACCGCGGTGACGTCAACTAACTCTTCTTTGACCGCAGTGTCCCTCCTCCTTCAAGTCAGAAACGAGTGCCGTACTCAGAAGAAACTACATGTAGTATCAGTCTTGTCAATAGTGTCATTCATCTGTTTTTCATTCTAATATGCTGTTAAATGGTCTATTTATTTTGTTTTTATTGTTAAATAGTATATTTATATTGTTTTTGTTGTAAACGGTCTATATTGTCTTCTTGTAAATGGTTTATTATGTATTTTTTGTTGTTAATAGTCTATTTACATTTGCTTTTGTTGTTTTAAATTGTCTATTTATATTGTTTTAACGCAACATGCCTGTATAGCTGTTACGTCCTGTTAAATCTCTGTATATTTAATTAACAAAACAGTGTTGTATATCGTATTTCACATTAATATTAATTATTGCTCACCTCTATATCTATTTCCCATAACATTAAGTTACCTGTTCTTATCAATGTCAACTCAACACTCTTGAAAATGGTGTTTGCCGTGCATGTAATAAATAAAAAAAAATAAATAAAATACCAAGTTTCTTAAATATCGGTTGAAACAAATCAAAAAATCAAAATGTTTATGTAAAAAAACAAAATGGTGGATATCTGGTTAACGAAGTGGTTTTAGGAAAAATGTTATTCTTATTTTCTCTTTATTTTGACCCAAGGAATCAAATTCGTAAATTATGTCCCCACCTTTTTTGAACACCCTGTATATGCCACTAATTTTCTAGTGTTCTTATTCATAACAAAGTGTGATCAATATTTATAGCGCTTACCTTTCAGAGGGCATCCTTCTATTATAAGCTCCTGAAAAAGATCTATTATGAGTAAAACTGTAAACACCACAAAACAAATTTCGTGATACCTATGTGTACAAAAATGACTGCTTGTCCTAAAAAAAAAAAATTAAAAAAAATTAAAACTAGATCCTAAAATGACATTAAAAGTATTTTTGGTTTCAGTAAACAGGTCTAAGAAAATACATCCAGCCAATGACAGTTAATTTTGAAATGCTAAATAAATAAATCATCCCAACTATGACCCTAATAGATAATATTTAGCAATAATGTACTCAACATCACTAACAGCATGATAGGGAATTTCTTGGCTTAATATATCTTTTTGCAGAAAATAATATCAGACACAAATAACAAGGACTGCAATGGAATTCAGCCAAGAAAAAAGTAAACAAAACCACAACAATTGTAATTAATAACTAAAACATAATATGGTGATAAATAAATACAAAGTACATAGAACACTGTGTCGTCATGAAACATATTACACTTTTCATTTACCTTTTTCCATTCAAGAGGTTTCCCGTTGTTGTAAAGGGACAGATGAGTAACTGACTTACAAACTCTACAGACGCTAAACCATTTATTACGAACCCATATGAAGACAAATTCTTTGCCATTTGTTTCATCATTTTTATCAACAGCAATCGTCAATGAATCAGATGGTGATAAATAAATTGAAACCCCGGAGCAATCGTAATTTACAGTCAAAATGTGATTGTCGTTGTCGAACAAACTAAGGTAGTATTCGTTTTGTTCTGATCGTAGGCAAAGTAGTGTCAGTACTGTATACTTCTCTTGTTTGTACTTTGCAACCAAAACCATCGACCTGGTGTTGTCTTCTGTAGTGATACCACCTGTAAAACAGCCAGCAGTGAATTATTAGCATAGTTATATTGATGTGTTGTAATCGTAGCGTATTGCAACTATCGTTTTTAGTGAATTCCCCATATAAGATATATAAAAATAAGATTTTACTATAGGTCTCATGGTAAGGCCTGGACGCGAGAGTGATTTAATTTTAAGTTTTATGTCCCCAGAGGCCAAAAACTGCAGCAGTTCAAATGCGTATATTATATAATATTATATATAAGGATAATTATGTGAAATAGTAAATCTTATTAAAGCTAATACATTGGTATAGGCCTACTGAAGCGGTTTTTTGGAGGATAAATCAAATAATTGTTGTATTTAGCCTAAGGATATATTTTGTTCAAATTTCGAAAACAACTGTTTCTTTTTTCTACCAAGCTATTATCATTTCAATAACAATCTCCAATTACCTCCAATGTAGCAGAAAACCTAAATTTCTAACCACAAATTAAATAATTGTCATTTAATTAGAAAATAAATAACAATATAATGGAAATATTTTTATGAAAATCGAACCAGGTACATGACAATTCGATTAGTCTCCAGGTTTGCTGTAGCGAGGGTATTTTAACAATTAGATGGTTCATTATAAAACATCATATTGGAATTTATTTTCTTAATTTAATTATATTAATTTAGGATATATCTTGAACGAAACCAGAAAAATGGACTTTTATTACCATTGTAAACTAAATACAAGCATTGTAATTAAAACTTACTCGCTGTAACAACTTCGTCGTCTTTGTTTTTGGTCTCTCTATTTTGGGTAGACTTAGTTGGCTGGAAAAGAAATTCACTATTAGGACCAAGTTTAAGGCTAAGTAGATATTCTACGAATCGCACATTCATCGTTGCTTACTTCAGGGTCAGTTTATATTCATTTAGAGTAAATAGTTTTATATTGTGTCAGTACTTTAAATGAATTTTTCCTACACCGAAAATATACTACTTCTTGTAGCAAGCAATGATCCTTCTGCTGCCTAATGTAGCAATTTACCTACATGTGGGGTTTTTTTAGCTAGAAGTGGTTAAGGTGTGGTGGAATATTATGTAGATGAACCTTTTTTGGCTATTGTGCGATCGTGTGTTCATATGTGTCAAATTTTGAGGTTAAATCAAAACAAACAAACAAACAAACATAGATGTTAAGAGTTTTTAAAACTAAACGTAAATCATTATTACTGTATGTACCAACAGTAATTTTATGTGTATTCTAGTCACAGCAACCACATTATTTTATTAATATAATGATTGAAATTAATTATGGAAGAAGATTCAATATTTTAATATTATCTCATATAATTAGCTATTTTCATAGCAACCATCAACTAATTTGGAATACAATAATTAAATAACAACTTATAAACTATATAATAAACTAGTTGAATTGGATTTAGGAATCACGTCTGGTTTTCACAGTAAATATTCTCTAAATGGCTAAGTACTTTATAAAAGTAGGCTAGAGTAAGTTTAAAGTATATTTAATCATTGTCAATTCCAAAAATATAATTATGCCAGTTTGTTTTGATTTAACCTCAAAATTTGATAGGTATGAACACATGATCGCACTACTGCCATAAAGGTTCATCTTCAAAGATATTCCACCACTCTTTGACCGCTTCTATCCTGGGAAATCTCTTGAGCTGGTTTGGCAGCTACTTGTCTGGAAGGAGTCTCTGTGTAAAATTCGCTTCCGCAGTATCAACTCCAATTCCTACTTCTTCAGGAGTGCCACAGGGATCCTTGATGGGACCCTTCCTATTCTCTCTTTTCGTGAATGGCCTTCCCAGTGTTTTGCTAGTCCGTTCTCTAATGTTTGCCGACGATGTGAAGCTCATCCTGGAAATCAACACCGTGCGAGAGTGTCTCCACCTGCAGAGAGCCCTTGACTCTGTCCTCGAGTGGTCAACAAAGAACTTAATGTCGCTGAACCCAACGAAGTGCAAAATCATTTCATTTCATAGAAACATTCAAACAATCGAATTTCAGTATATGGTTGACACTACTTACTTAAAGCGTGTCACAAGCATTCGTGACTTAGGGGTGGTTCTCTCATCTGACCTTTCACCTGACTTTCATGTTGATGAGATTTGTCGTCGAGGCCACAAAACTATGGGTCTCCTTTGCAGAGTATCTAGGGATCTTTAAAAGTGATATCAAAATTTGTAGGAGAGCGACTGGCAAGCTTATAAAAACAAGCCCATCCCCATGGGGCGTAGCCTAAGGGAAATATGAAAATTAAATGATATAATATTGCATTGTCATCCATTTGTGAGCTATGTTTCAAGTTTCAAGTCTCTAGCTCATCGGAAACTTAGTATAAAATTGATTGCAAAATATGTACCTGACAAGAAAGCGAGCTAATAAAAACGTTTTAAAAAATAGAACAATGATGTTTTAAAAATGTAAACTATTTGCCTGATGCTATTAGAGAAATGACATAGGTGTGTAACCTATCCATGCATTTTTTCTATCATTCACATACAACGCACTAATAATTTCATTCTTAAAGTACCTCAAAATTTGACTTATAGAGATAATAGTAAACAAATAAGAAGTGAGCGCCATACGAATTTAATGCTAACGTAAAAACAACAAATATTCGTTACTAGTGTACAATGTATTTTTGCAATACTTTGTTGTATATTGAATGAATAAAACCAGTAGAAAACGAAATTACCTTTAGTTAGGCTCTATTGAACAAAAAATCTAGCATGATATAAAAAGCTAACAATATGAACCAACTAACATCAAAGTAAACAAAAACAATTTATAAACATTTGAACACATGTCACAATGTACAGAGAAAGGAATTATATGACATTCTTCCCCTCCTAGCTGACATAGTCTTTTAAATACAAAGGTGGGTGTTTACTCCTGGAGCTTCTTTTTCAATACACTACGGCTTTAGTTGAAATTGTGAATTGGTCTGTTTTTAAATCCTTAGAGCAACATGGTCTTGACTCAGTTTTTCTTCGTCTTGGAAGATAGGCTCAAATTCGACCTCAACTTCAGAACTTCTTTAATTTATTTGTAGATTTGTGTTTGTGTCTTCTTCATGTCTTAGATTGGAGTTTGAGTCTTCTTCATGTCTTAGATTGGAGTTTGAGTCTTCTTCATGTCGTAGATAGGAGTTAGAGTCTTCTTCATTACGTGACACTTCTCCTACAGATGCTAAATGCCTGGAACTCACTGTAGTTTCACGGACATCTGCATATCTTATGTGAGAATACTTAGGATTCCCCTCAAGGAGCAGTACTTCTTCAACGAGTGGTTCGTATTTTGAGCTCCTGACAGGCCGTTTGATGAGCACTGGACCTAGGTTCATGAGCCACGAAGGAGTTGTCTTACCATTACTAGAAATTATAGAATAGAGAAATAGTCTTTCATGTGGTGTTGTATTTTTTGAGGTACACAATAACGACCGGATAGAGTGCAAAGCTTATAAATGTACTTTCTCCTAATCAGATATGTCCAGATGTTTACTTTTAAGTGATAGTTCGATTGTCTTCCAAATTATACCAACATACCTCTCTGCTTGTAATGAACATAAAAATGACTTGGGTTCTTGAGACATAAAACTTGAACCTCTGTCAAAATGAACATAAGCTGGTACTCCAAACATTGAGAAAAGAAGAAGTTCCTTAAGTCTCAGAATAACAGTTCTAGCAGTTGTATCTTGAGTAGGGAATGCGAATGGAAATCAAGAATATTCATCCACGACTATTAAAAGATATCGATTTCTACTTGTGGATGGAAGTGGCCCTTTCAAATCGATGCTAAGTCTTTCAAATGGTTGAGTAGCTTTGATGAGTTGCTTCATGTTTGTGGAATCGAGGTTTTACCTCTAAGCAGGTTCGACAGGAGGAAAGTTACTTTTCAGATCTCATCCAGTGAATAAGGCAAGTTTTTACTCCAAGTCCAATGATACATCCGAGACACTCCTGTATGACTTAAAGCGTCATGAAGTGATACTAGATTTGATAAGCTTCCTTCCATTGATGAACATACCCTGGATAAAGCATCTGCTGTTTTGTTCTCTTTCCAGCTCTATAAATAATCTCATACTTATAACAAGATAACTCAACTCTCCATCTCATTATTTTATCATTCTTGATTTTGCTTGCATTTCGATCACTGAACGTGAAGGCTACAGATCGTTGATCTGTTATAAAACTAAAGTGTCTGCCTATGAGATAGTGCCTCCATTTTCTTAACGCTTCCACTATTGCATATGCTTCTTTCTCAATAGATGAATGTTTCCGTTCCGAGTTCGTTAGTGTTCTAGAGAAAAATGCTACAGGTATACCATCAATAGCCAAAGCTGCTCCTATTGCATTATTTGATGCATTGGTTTCGACTGTTAACAATCCATCACAGTCAATTGAAGAAGTTACTGCATTAACAATGGCTTCTTTAAGTCTTTCAAATACACACTTAGCTTCTTCATTGAGTGGAAAAGAACTTCTGTTTAAACAGCTCACCTTCTCAGAAAACTTAGGAATGGATTGTGAGTAGTGGGAGAACATACCAAGAGCTCTGTCAAGAGAGTTTGAGTTAGTTGGAATGGGAAGATCTTGAAGGGGTTGCAAACTATCTGGATCTGGTCTTATTGATTTTACACCGATTACATAACCTAATAGATGGACCATGGTTGTAGAAAACTTGCATTTATGTTTGTTCAAAGTAAGATTATATTTGGAAACAGCTTTCATAAAAATTTTCAAGTTCCTGTCATGTTCAGCCTGATCATTACCACAGATTGTTATATCAACCCCTTCAACCCCTTGAACCCTTGAACCCCTTCACGTTTTTCACAAGTAATTATGTTGGTTAAAGTACGTTGAAAAGCAAGGACACCATTATGAACTCTAAATGGCACTCGGGTAAATTGGTACAAGTTCCCGCAAGCCTCAAATGCCGTGTAAGCTTTGTCATTTTCTGTTACTGGGATTTGGTGATAGGCACTCCTAAGATCAATAGAACTACAAATTTTGTGTGAAGCTACTTCGTTGACTATGTCATCAATCCTAGGGAGAGGAAACGCATCAAGTTCTGTAAAACGATTAATTGTCTGTGAATAATCCACAACCATTCTCCGCTTGTGGTTATCTGATGAAACAACAAGGACTTGTGCTCTCCATGGAGACCTGCTCTCTTCAATAATACCATCTTTCAACAGTAATTGAATTTCACTTTCAATAAATTGTTCGTCAATTGCTGAGTGCCTTCGAGATTTTGTTGCAATAGTCTTGCAATCTGGAGATAAATTACCAAATAGTTCTACTGGCTCAACGTTAGCTAAGGCTACACTACATATGTTGAGAGGAGACTCTTTTCCTCCAAAATGGACTTGTAAACTTGAGTGTCTTTTCAGAATGTCATGCCCTACAATAATGTCAGAACATAAGTTTGTAAGTACGCTGAAGACCACATTCTTGTAAATATGATCTTGCAATTTGAGATTGATTTTACAGTACCCTTTTATTGAGGAACGCAGAGTTTTTGAAGCCATAGATACCTCTCCCCCATTACATGTAATGACAGGAATGTTGAATCTAAGGGCTGAGCTTTGATTGATAAAACTACCAGAACTACCAGTATCTATAAGAGCGTATGCATCGACTCCATTTAATTGTACTGGGACTACAGCTTTACTCAAACACGATGGTACTGAGGCAATACAGTTTGACTGATGGACTGAGGCCTTTACTGTAGAGGTTTGTGTTTTGGATTTTCTACATACCTTTTGGTAATGTTCTTTAATGCCACATCCTCTGCATATAGCTTCTTTAGCTGGACAAGCAGCTCTGTTGTGTTTCTTAAAGCCGCAGAAGTAACATGTCTGATTGAGTGAACATGTTATACTTTATTGAAATGGATACGATTCTGGTTCGGCAGCATAAGGTCTTGGATCAGGGCTAGACAAGTATCGATTCTTTTCACTGATAGTCTTTGAAGCTGCAGCGTTAATGGTTGGTAAACACTTCTCTAAATTTTACTGTTCAGAATGATATTTAGCAATTTCGAGTGGTCTGGCTTGAGAAACGGCTTCATCCAAAGTCAAGGCAGAGCTTTCCAACAATCGTTGACGAATGTGAGGTACTAGCAAGCCATCAATGAATGTGTCTCTGATGTATTCATCTCTACAAGATACAGCATTTAAAGCTTTAAAGTTACAATCCTTGGAAAGGCGCTTCAGAGATTCTACATAAGTATCAATGTTTTCACCAGTATCTTGTCTTCTGATTCTAAGTTTATGACGTGCGTAAATTCCATTGACAGGTTTCAAGTACAACTTTGTCAACACATCAATTGCTTGATTGTATGTTTTACAGTCATTTACATACTCATAAACGGAAGGTGAAATGAAATTGGTTAATACCAAATTGGTATTTGGTAATTGGTTAATAAATTGGTTAAGCCTCAGTTCTTCACTGATTTTACTAGCTTCGATGAAGTTTTCAAAGGTGTGAAACCAATGTTTCCAATCTTGGACTTCAATAGGATTGACATTAAATATCTCAGGTCTAAGTATAAGTTCCATGACAAAAGGTTGATGTATATTTTAATAAAAGATTCTTTGTTCAATAAATTGTTGTAGATTGAATGAATAAAACCATTAGAAAACGAAATTACCTTTAGTTAGGCTTTATTGAACAAAGAATCCAGCATGATATAAAAAGCTAACAATATGACAAGCTAACTAACATCAAAGTTAACAATAGTTATTTGTGTAACTAGTGGTGAAAGTGGCACTTTGCTGCACACGAGAGCAATGTTTACGCACGAGCCGCAGGCGAGTGCGGAATGATCTCGAGTGCAGCAAAGGCCTTTTTCACTCGTGTTACACATTATATTTTTCCTACAGTCACTATAAAGCATATAAATAATTAGTCTTTCAAACACTATACAACACGGTTTTAGGTTCAGCTGGCAACAGAAATAGTGCCCTAGAGAAAGTAGTACCCGCGGTCCGTATCACTCCGCTATTTTTCCTCGGCAACAAATGTGGTCCGCGTTTTGAGAATATAGTTCCGTATGTTTTTGTAATTTGAAGTGGTTTCCGTGCCTAAAAAAATGCTTTAAAGGTATTTTCTTGTGTATTAAGATCGTAGGAATGTTTTAAAAACGTTTAAAAGAAAAGTCCAGAAAGTTTAGAAATACCGAAACTATAAACACGAAATGACAGGTTAAATCGTAGTTATAATAGCCAATCAGCTGCTCATAGTATTATTATCTTTAAGTGTTGCCAACCTATTTCCAAGCGTACACGGATTACGTGCATAATAGAACCACGCTGTTTTGTGTTGTTTCGTTGGAATCCTGATGTGCGGCAAAGTATAAACCGTACGGCAAAGTATAAACCGTACGGCAAAGTATAAATATGCAGCAATTAGCAGCTTTCTGTACTATAAACAGTACAAGGAAGCCAACTTTGTCGGGTGACTGTAGGAAAAAAGTATTTGCAAAGTTATTTTCTGATTTTAAAATTGATTTTTGTCTGTATCATGTTATGTTTTGCAATATAACATCCCATTACGAAATCAGTAGAAAATCCTTTTATCACAGTAACTCTTACAATTATTTGTTATTAGACTATCTTATATTTATTGTACGGGTTGGTGTCTGCCTTTTTCACCACTTTTGGCTATATTTTTTCATATTATTCTAGACAGATCATCATAGGTTCATGAGATTAATGTCATAGGTACATGTTTTCAATCATTGGAAAAATCTTCGATTGCGTAATACAATACAGTACTGTACAAAATAATACAAGTGCAGAAGTGTTTTATTAGCTTTAACAGTAACCCCACAACTAATTTCTCAAAACTATGCTAGAGGGTTATTCTTTGACACAGAAGTATGAACTGACGCGACGTGACAAAGGAAAAATCAAACTTACACTGTAACGGATGGACCTCCCTTTGAAGCTAGAACGTGTCTTCTCAACAAACAGATATTTTTTCTCAAATAAAATCATAGATTAATCTTTATTGCACTGATGAAATCGCATAAGTTTTTAACTACAAAAGATCCACCAATACGATTTTAATACTATTTAAAGGTTTTTCCAAAGTATGGGAAATATTTTATTCGTTGAATGATCAACCATATTATTTGGTAACTAACGCAATTAATATCATTATTGGTTTACACTTATTACTCTTTAAACAATGCTAAATGCTCAAAATATTTATAATTTCACTCAATTTATCGCAGTTAGATGAATTAGCGTAAGCCTTGAAAGTAACCGTCGATTTCGACGGGTTTCACCTAGTCAAATAAATAATGTTATAGGCAGCTGGTATGGTAAGGTGTAATGTTGGCAAGCTGACTATGCCACAACACTTGTCATTGGGAAGAAAACTATATAGAGGGTATATTACACTCACAGTTTAGGTGATTTTTACCGACATTTTATAACCACTTTTTGTAATTACTACAATTTTTTTAATTAATCTTAAAATTTGTACAATAATTTATGACCAAGGTATTTCTGAAGACCGTGATATTGCAAGAAACCAATCAATGCATTTTGGAATAGTGAAATTTAGTTTTAAGTTAGACATTATAGAACCAATAATGAGTATTCAGAGATATCCGTACACTAGCTTTAAATTACAGAATACGCTTCATACACACTACCTCTCAGACGACAAGCCGTCTCAGTTGTTATAACTGCAAAAAGACCTTCACTTACGACAAAGTTCATAATTACAACCTAATATATACTTGCCTGTAATGACTGTCGTTGTGTCTGTGTTGTAAGTGCTGAGACCTGATTCTGGGTTTGGTCATTTGCAGGGTTGTCTTCGTCTTCTGGTTGTAAAGGCTCGAACGGAGACTGGGGTCCAACAAACATATAGTTTACTCTTTTTATTAACGAAAATTACTTATATAATAATTTTTATTTATCCTGGATGATTGCCTTGATCCAAAATAAAACTTTAAAATTTTGATTTTGATTTGTTAAAATATGCTTTTAAATTCAACTGTTTAAATTAAAAAGATTCACTTTGCCGCATGATTTGCTTACTTTACAGCACTAGTGTGGTAAAGACGGACCAGAGAGAATGTTTCAAGGAGTAAAATTGTAATGCTAAAACGCCAACTTGTCAGCTGGTAACGTCCAATTCAATTGTCGATCTCCCGACTTCTACTGATAACTCAAACATAACCTAAGAATTATTGAGCCAAACGATTTGTAAACCACGAGTTTCAGGAAAGTATATTGAAAGATCTTGATCAGTCCTATATACGAAATAGAAGTAAGGGCTTGAACGGTTTGTACTAATCTTTTACCACCTAAATTAAAGCCAAGTTACGAAAAAATAATACGTTTGCAAAAATGTTTATTGATTCTTCTTCAATAATAATGTTAATAATTTAAGAGACATTTTATTTTTAATTGTTTTTATTTAAATTTGGTAACTAAACTGTGTCCATACATTCAGTTTTGCCACAAATGTGCAATATTTGTCTATTTTGTACCTAAAACAGTACTTAGGATGTCTTATTCAGCAAGTCAAAATAAACAAAAAACTGTAATATAACATGTGTCCTATCTCATTCCGTTTTCAGTCCATATGTGTGTATGCTTTTTTAACCATTTTTTTAACCTTAACCACTTGAGCCAGAGTGTTTTTTTAAATGTTCTTTTTGACCAATATCTTTGTGAAAAATACCAATAAAAACTCATGAACCGTTTAAAATTGTCGGATTTTAAAAATATTCGATGCCAAATTCCATGAAAACCGTTAATTTTACAAAATATTGAAAAGTGATGTAAAATCTATTAAAAGTTATGCAGATTTAAACAAATCTATACTATTATATAAAAATCTAATGGTGTCTGTCTGTATGTGTGTTACCAATAGGTACAAAAACTACTGAACCAACTGGGCTTAAATTTTACAAAAATATAGATACCATACCAAGGACCCTTATAGGATTATTCACATTTCGATACTGACCGTAGGCTTTGCCCCTTTGGCTTTAAAAGTACTAAGGTGAACATTTTAAAAGTAAATATTGATTGGTCTCCATGGCTGCGATTAGAACACTAACAACGTTTGTTTACATTTGCTTTGACATTTAAATGAAAACAAGAAGAATTGCTAAACTGCATATTTCACAATTTCAGACAGCTGATAACAAAGAAATTAAATATAATATTTTCCATAACTATGAGGTAGGTTTATTTTAATCTAACCTTTTATCATGGATTATTTATTCTAAAGCTATGTCAATGATTATAGAAAAAAAAGATTCTTTAACCATTGCTGTATCAACTCCGGCTCTGCTTTGGATTTTTTAAAGCGTCTAAGTTATGAAAATAATGTTATTGATATGTTTTCATGGAAACAGTATGAAAATTACAATGTATAGATGTTTTGTATGAATTTGGAGGCTACTGTAAATAAATTCTAACTGCTTAACATGTGTTAGATTAACTTAACATAACTTGCACATAACATTGTTTTTTATATGTATATTTAGGTAAACTAAGTTATTGTGTTTTGCTAAACCTATGCTTTAATTAAACTAGAGAATATCATCAATAACTAAATTGTATGTCGTTGATTTTTGTTTTCTAAAATATGTTTTATATGTGTAACTATATTTACGCCACACTACATTATTTAGACGAGCCTCCCACGCAAGGATTCAGTCCAGAAAACAGCTGTTTGCCGCCAGCTTATTCAAATGGGGTTTCATTGCGTGATACTGTTCTGCAATGAGTTTTACCGGACACCAATCAGCTGATTATACTGTATTTGCGTAGGTAGCAATAATTGGTTATAAGCAAAAACATAACCTCTCTTAGAGGTTATGACTAGTGATTTTTAGTCCTTTAGTTGGTGGAAATATATAAGGATTCGTACGGATTAAGTAGTATGGCGTAAAATATCGTACGTAACTCGTCCAAAATGTGTTTACCGGACTCGTATGGTAATCCCGTACTCGACTTCGTCTCGCACGGGAACGACCACACTCGTCCGGTAAACACTTACTTTCAGGACTAGTAACGTAATATACTATTAATTATCAATACATAGCGTATTGTAATGATGCTATTAGAGAAATAACGTAGGTGTGTAACATATATATGCATTTTTTCTGTCATTCACATACAACGCACTAATAAATAATTCCATTCATAAAGTTCCTCAAAATTATAGAGATAATATAAAACAAATAAGAAGTGAGCGCCGTACGAATTTAAGGCTAACGTAAAAAAAACGTTTTAATTAACAACAAACATTCGTTACTAGTGTACAATATATTTTTGCAATACTTTGTTGTAGATTGAATGAATAAAACCATTAGAAAACGAAATTACTTTTAGTTAGGCTTTATTGAACAAAGAATCTATCATGATATAAAAATCTAACAATATGAACCAACTAACATCAAAGTAAACAAAAACAATTTATAAACATTTGAACACATGTCACAATGTACAGATAGAAAGGAATTATATGAAATTCTTCCCCTCCTAGCTGACATAGTCTTTTAAATACAAAGGCGGGTGTACTCCTGGAGCTTCTCCTTAGACCAACATGGTCTTGACTCAGGTTTTCTTCGTCTTGGAAGATAGGCTCAGATTCGACCTCAACTTCAGAACTTCTTTCATTTATTTGTAGATTTGGGTTTGTGTGTTCTTCATGTCTTAGATTTGAGTTTGAGTCTTCTTCATGTCTTAGATTGGAGTTTGAGTCTTCTTCATGTCTTAGATTGGAGTTTGAGTCTTCTTCATGTCTTAGATTGGAGTTTGAGTCTTCTTCATGTCGTAGATTGGAGTTAGAGTTTTCTTCATTACGTGACACTTCTCCTACAGATGCTAAATGCCTGGAACGCACAGTAGTTTCTCGGCCATCTGCATATCTTATGTGAGAATAAAGGATTCCCCTCAAGGAGCAGTACTTCTTCAACGAGTGGTTCGTATTTTGAGCTTCTGACAGGCCGTTTGATAAGCACTAGACCTAGGTTCATGAGCAACGAGGGAGTTGTATTACCATAACTAGATCTTATAGAAAAGAGAAATAGGCTTTCATGTGGTGTCATTTCAAATACATTGTTGAGGTAAACAATAACGACCGGATAGAGCGCAAAGCTTCTAAATGTAGTTTTTCCCAATAAGATATGTCCAGATGTTTACTTTTAAGTGATAGTTCGATTGTCTTCCCAATTATACCAACATACCTCTCTGCTTGCCCGTAGCCCAGAGCATTGTAAGCGTGTTGTACGGCTGGTGGCAACTCCTAGTGAACATAAAAATGACTTGAGTTCTTGAGACATAAAACTTGAACCTCTGTCAGAATGAACATAAGCCGGTACTCCAAACATTGAGGAAAGAAGAAGTTCCTTGAGAAATTCCCTAAGTCTCAGAATAACAGTTCTAGCAGTTGTATCTTGAGTAGGGAATGCGAATGGAAATCGAGAATATATCCACGACTATTAAATGATATCGATTTCTACTTGTGGATGGAAGTGGCCCTTTCAGATCGATGTTAAGTCTTTCAAATGGTTGAGTAGCTTTGATGAGTTGCTTCATGTTTGTGGAATCGAGGTTTTACCTCTAAGCAGGTTCGACAGGAGGAAAGTTACTTTTCAGATCTCATCCAGTGAATAAGGCAAGTTTTTACTCCAAGTCCAATTATACATCCGAGACACTCCTGGATGACATAAAGCGTCATGAAGTGATACTAGGTTTGATAAGCTTCCTTCCATTGATGAACATTCCCTGGATAAAGCATCTGCTGTTTTGTTCTCTTTTCCAGCTCTATAAATAGTCTCATTATTATAACAAGATAACTCAACTCTCCATCTCATTCTTGATTTTGCTCGCATTTCGATCACTGAACATGAAGGCTACAGATCGTTGATCTGTTGTAAAACGAAAGTGTCTGCCTATGAGATAGTGCCTCAATTTTCTTAACGCTTCCACTATTGCATAATATGCTTCTTTCTCAAAAGATGAATGTTTCTGTTCCGAGTTCGTTAGTGTTCTAGAGAAAAATGCTACAGGTCTGCTATCAATAGCCAAAGCTGCGCGTATTGCATGATTTAATGCATTGGTTTCGACTGTTAACAATCCATCACAGTCAATTGAAGAAGTTACTGCATTAACAATGGATTCTTTCAAATACACACTTAGCTTCTTCATTCAGTAGAAAAGAACTTCTGTTTAAACAGCCTACCTTCTTAGAAAACTTAGGAATGAATTGTGAGTAGTGGGAGAACATAGGTACCAAGAGCTCTGTGAAGAGAGTTTGAGTTAGTTGGAATGGGAAGATCTCGAAGGGGTTGCAAATGATCTGGATCTGGTCTTATTGATTTTACACTGATTACATAACCTAATAGATGGATCATGGTTGTAGAAAACTTGAATTTATGTTTGTTCAAAGTAAGATTATATTTGGAAACAGCTTTCATTAAATTTTTCAAGTTCCTGTCATGTTCAGCCTGATCATTACCACAGATTGTTATATCAACCCCTTCAACCCCTTGAACCCCTGAACCCCTTCACGTTTTTTACAAGTAATTATGTTGGTTAAAGTACGTTGAAAAGCAAGGACACCATTACCAACTCCAAATGGCACTCGGGTGAATTGGTACAAGTTCCCGCAAGCCTCAAATGCCGTGTAAGCTTTGTCATTTTCTGTTATTGGGATTTGGTGATAGGCACTCTTAAGATCAATAGAACTACAAATTTTGTGTGAAGCTACTTCGTTGACTATGTCATCAATCCTAGGGAGAGGAAACGCATCAAGTTCTGTAAAACGATTGTCTGTAATAATCCACAACCATTCTCCGCTTGTGGTTATCTGATGAAACAACAAGGACTTGTGCTCTCCATGGGGACCTGCTCTCTTCAATAATACCATCTTTCAAAAGTAATTGAATTTCACTTTCAATAAATTGTTCGTCAATTGCTGAGTGCCTTCGAGATTTTGTTGCAATAGGCTTGCAATCTGGAGATAGATGACCAAATAGTTCTACTGGCTCAACGTTAGCTAAGGCTACACTACATATGTTGAGAGGAGACTCTTTTCCTCCAAAATTTACTTGTAAACTTGAGTGACTTTTCAGAATATCATGCCCTACAATAATGTCAGAACATAAGTTTGTAAGTACGCTGAAGACCACATTCTTGTAAATATGATCTTGCAATTTGAGATTATACAGTTTGACTGATAAACTGAGGCCTTTACTGTAGAAGTTTGTGTTTTGTATTTTCTACATACCTTTTGGTAATGACCTTTAATGCCACATCCTCTGCATAAAGCTTCTTTAGCTGGACAAGCAGCTCTGTTGTGTTTCTTAAAGCCGCAGAAGTAACATGTCTGATTGAGTGAACATGTTATACTTTCTTGAGATGGATACGATTCTGGTTCGGCAGCCGAAGGTCTTGGATCAGGGCTAGATAAGTATCGATTCTTTTAACTGATAGTCTTTGAAGCTGCAGCGTTAATGGTTGGTAAAAACTTCTCTAAATTTTATTGTTCAGAATTATATTTAGCAATATCGAGTGATCTGGCTTGAGAAACGGCTTCATCCAAAGTCAAGGCAGAGCTCTCCAACAATCGTTGACGAATGTGAGGTACTAGCAAGCCATCAATGAATGTGTCTCTGACGAATTCATCTCTACTAGATACAGCATTAACAGCTTTAAAGTTACAATCCTTGGAAAGGCGCTTCAGAGATTCTACATAAGTATCAATGTTCTCACCAGTATCTTGTCTTCTGATTCTAAGTTTATGACGTGCGTAAATTTCATTGACAGGTTTCAAGTACAACTTTTTCAACACATCAATTGCTTGTTTGTATGTTTCACAGTCATTTACATACTCATAAACGGATGGTGAAATGAAATTGGTTAATACTTTAAGCCTCAGTTCTTCACTGATTTTACTAGCTTCGATGAAGTTTTCAATGGTGTGAAACCAATGTTTCCAATCTTGGACTTCAATAGGATTGACATTAAATATCTCAGGTCTAAGTATAAGTTCCATGACAAAAGGTTGATGTATATTTTAATAAAAGATTCTTTGTTCAATAAATTGTTGTAGATTGAATGAATAAAACCATTAGAAAACGAAATTACCTTTAGTTAGGCTTTATTGAACAAAGAATCCAGCATGATATAAAAAGCTAACAATATGACAAGCTAACTAACATCAAAGTTAACAATAGTTATTTGTGTAACTAGTGGTGAAAGTGGCACTTTGCTGCACACGAGAGCAATGTTTACGCACGAGCCGCAGGCGAGTGCGGAATGATCTCGAGTGCAGCAAAGGCCTTTTTCACTCGTGTTACACATTATATTTTTCCTACAGTCACTATAAAGCATATAAATAATTAGTCTTTCAAACACTATACAACACGGTTTTAGGTTCAGCTGGCAACAGAAATAGTGCCCTAGAGAAAGTAGTACCCACGGTCCGTATCACTCCGCTATTTTTCCTCGGCAACAAATGTGGTCCGCGTTTTGAAAATATAGTTCCGTATGTTTTTGTAATTTGAAGTGGTTTCCGCGCCTAAAAAAATGCTTTAAAGGTATTTTCTTGTGTATTAAGATCGTAGGAATGTTTTAAAAACGTTTAAAAGAAAAGTCCAGAAAGTTCAGAAATACCGAAACTTTAAACACGAAATGACAGGTTAAATCGTAGTTATAATAGTCAATCAGCTGCTCATAGTATTATTATCTTTAAGTGTTGCCAACCTATTTCCAAGCGTACACGGATTACGTGCATAATAGAACCACGCTGTTTTGTGTTGTTCAGTTTGGAATCCTGATGTGCGGCAAAGTATAAACCGTACGACAAAGTATAAACCGTACGGCAAAGTATAAATATGCAGCAATTAGCAGAGTACAAGGAAGCCAACTTTGTCGGGTGACTGTAGGAAAAAACAAACATTTGAACAGATGTGACAATGTACAGATAGAAAGCAATTATATGACATACTTACATCCAACCAAACCACTTTATCAATTTGTTGCGGACCAGCTGGAGTGACAGTTTTAGTCCCACTTAAATTTACGTCATACTGACACCAGATTTGTTTCTTGGGGCTATATAGCCGAATGAACCCTACAGTCATTTTCATGTTGTCAAGTGATAAGAAGAAAACTGATTGTAAGCTTGATAGGGACAAACAGTTCAGTCCTTTAACAGCTAGTTTGAAGGATCCAAGTTGTTTGATGACAGATATATGTTCCGAAAGTCCACTTTTGTAACACAACAAGGTGTAATGGTTACTCCGTCCATAGTCAGCATATTTACTTAGGTATACGGCTTTAAGATCACTCTCTTCTACAGTTATCTCATGTTCTTCCAAAAGTATATCTTTCTCTGAAAAATACAATTTAACTCTTATTAAAATTAACTTCACAATTTATTTGTGATTCGCATCACTTTAATGCAATATCTGACTTGATTATTGTTACACACTAGTAGAGCGGAGGGTGGTCTATACCAAGGCCGCACTAGATATACTATACCCCCCTCCCCTTTGGTGGGAATTTTTGAAATATACATTTTTGTGCTTGTATTGACACGTACATTAAGATTTTAGGGGTTGCCACTTGTGAATTACAGCATGTTCCAGAAAACACGAAAATATCATGATAGTTAGAATATATATACATAAAAAAATTAGTTTTACTTTTCCGATTTCGTTTGGTTGTTTTACCCGACCGATTTTCATGATTGAGGTCTCAAATTGAAGGTATTAATGTACAGATTGCACATCAAGCATCGGCATATATTTGTCTACAGTCCCACTCGGCTTATACGTAAACGACATTTTCTCCCCATGTATTTCTTATGGTAGTTAAATTTTGGTTTTCTTTTCCGAGTTCGTTTGGCGCTTCTACCCACCCGATTTTCATTATTGAGGTCTCAAATTGAAGGTATGCACGCACAGATTTCACATCAAGCATCAGTATATATTTATCGACAGTCCCACTCGGCTTATACGTAAATGAAATTTGCCCCCTTGTATTTCTAAAGGGAGTTAAATTTGTTTATTTTTATTTTCCGAGTTTCTTTGGCTCTTCTACACGTCCGATCTTCATGATTGAGGTCTTAAATTGGTAGTATGCACACATATATTTCACATCAAGCATCATCGTATATTTATCTACTTTATTACTCGACCAAAAAACATAGATTTGATATATTTTTTAATTTGTATTTCATTTTAAATTGTACGTAATTTTACCATTCATAATTGTACCCTATATATTTTGGTCTAAGAACCTTCAGTGAAATACCGGCTTGCATTAAGATATTAGTTATTCAAATCGGACGGGTTTCAAGCAAACGCAAGGTGAACATCCAACATAAAAAAAAACAACATGTTCTACATAGCTGTATAACAATCTAATCCTGTGATTTGAATGGCTGATGTTTCTCCTGATATTATGTCCAATACGTGTTCATTGTTGTTACTTTCATAGCAATTGAGATTGTAGAGTCCGTCGTCACTGATGTATCTGGCGACTAGTTTACCTTTCTGTAGGCCTACTGGTAACACTTGGTCCCCTCTGAGTATATGGGTAATAGTGTTAACGGTAATCTTAATAAGGTTTTTCTATGATTGAATATCAATAGCTCCAGTATTGTTGAAGTTTTTTTTATATGTTTTAGACTCAAAATAATCAGTTAATTATAGGCTTTAATTTGAGCTATTGATCGTTTGAATCAGTTAAGTTTAAGCTACTGTATTACACAATCAAAAATCATAAATTTGATTATTTTTCGGATATGATATTTATTTTAACGCTGCACAAATATGCATAAATTCAAACAAGCTTCAATACACGTTTCTAGGGTAATGTAAGGTTCTTTTTGGTGATATTTTGAAATTCACCCCCCACCTACAAACAGGGTTGATAAGAGAAACTTATTTTTTTTTTAAGGCAACCCATATCAATCGGCACATTATTTTAAAGAGATTTAAAAATAAAGTCAGTGTCGCAAATCCGATTTTGATACGAGGAAAACAAAGTTTTAGACGTTAATTTTACTGAAACCTTACATTCTAGTAAAATTTACATCAAAAATTTCTCAATAAAATTAATTTAATTTAAATAGAATCTCTTAAAATCTCTTTCCTAGAGGTACTCGTTAAATCTAATGTTGTTTGGATATATTTAATTGAAAATCAATTCAGGCCAATTTGAAATCCGCATTGCCTGCAGGTTTGCTGCAGCGGGGGTATTTTATTAACTTTTTTTATTTTTATTTGAAGCCTTTGTGTTAAGGCCCAATTGATATAATCCTAATTGATATAATCAACCCTATGCACTTTCATGTTATACTGTAAAGAGAAGAAATAGAAACATATGTTAAAAGAACAACAAAAACAATGATACAAGAATAATGTTGTAAAATAAAGAATTAAAATATGAAGTGAGTGTTACATTTATGTCTAACAAAAGTATTTAAAACCAGTTTATCTGAAAATACACTTTAAATACACACTGAAGAAGTCCATAAAAAATATTTCACCAGTAATTAACGTAGGCTACCCTTATGTAATCTTAATAAAACAGTTTTTTTAAATTTGGCAGTTTTTCTTTATTTTCCGGAATACGCTGTAATTTAAAAGAGGCAAACAACTGAATTCTTAATCTGGTAGGTAATACAAAAAAAAAGTATAAGTCATAAATTCCCACGGGGGGGAGGGTTTAATATTGGTGGCTCATGGTCTATAGTACAAGCTACTAATAAACTGTAAGAAATCATTTCTGTAGAAAGGTGAATATTATTATAGGCCTGGGGTTTTATTATTGGTTTTATGGGGCCTTGCTTGCTGATTGGTAATTCGGACACTCTTGTTTGATTCCGTTTACAGGGATCTAAAAAAATACTCTGTATTAAAAAGCCCGTGGATTTCAAGCTACAATTTCAAGGTATTATTGTATTATTTAATTATAAACAGACAAGTATTCAGAAAATCTTAATAGCGTATCCTCGTACAATCAAGATTCGATTTTTATTCTATAAGCATTTTTATTTCTTTATTTAGTTTATGGTACCAAGATATCATTTTTGTAGTTTTCGGTAGATATAATTTTACAGCATTAATTCTACCTCCCATTCGTTTAGCCTATTACTTACGTTTCACCAGCAAGTTAAAATCTAATGACACCTGAAACAATTTTTTGAATTACTATGTATTTGCCATAAACAGGCAATCGCTTGTATACTTTAATACTAATCAGGTTAACTAGTAACAGTTATAATTAGTTTTATAGCCAACTTTTTACTGTAACAAACAATAAATTAAACACATCTCGTCATACATATTTTCATGACATGTAATCGTAGAGTATATTTTATGCATACGTTTTGGGGGTTATTTATTAACCGTTTAACCCTGGGCTATGAGGGAACCTATTTATTATGGTGCCGTAAGGATAACGTAAATATAATTGTGTTATTAATAACAATCGTTTCCTTACCGTGGACACGACTGAAACAAACTGATTTAAGCTATGGAGTAGGCCTACTGGCGAGTCTCATGATTGACCACTGCTCAACTGGTCAATTGAAGATTGAAGTTGAGGAGAACGGTAAAATGCAATTTTACTCGAAAATGGGACTCCCATTTAAAATTTGTGGAATATTTCTAACGGTTCATATTATTTACTAGCTGTGTGTCCGTTCTACGTACGGGGATCTTGTAGTAGTCAGTTGAATGTGACAAAAATCACACAATGTTGGGTTTTTGGACATTTGTAATTTTATTTCTTAAGTAGGTAGGCTATGTGTTCTATGGAAAAGTACTGGTATCAAGGATCGTCGTCGAAAAGGTTGTTATATGAATAAATATGAAGGCGTACGTACCCAAGAGATGAGCTATGGGCCTATTTGCTGTATGGTCCAGCGATTGCATCACACCCCGCAATAGTGTTAAAATCCCGAGACTTCATATTTCATATATTCAGCTTATCATGAATCATGGGGGGAACTCAGTGAGGAGCCTATTTTCAGATCCTAGGCCAAAATCTTTCCGCCATGCCACAGTAAAATGTAAATATCGTAAATATTGTAAATATTGTAAATCGTGTAAATATATCTGTTTATTGACAAGCTCTTATAAGTTGACGCAATTTATCCGACAGTGTCGGTCAAAAATGAAGACCTCAAGTATTTCAAGTAAGAGTAAGCACGAATACTAGAATGCTTTGACTATAAGTAAGTAAATATTTCAAGTAATCAAAATTTGCGAAGAGCATTGTAGTGAACGATCGTTATTACATCAATTTTGGCTCGATATCTATAGGTACCGAGAACAGGTCCACAGGTCCTTTGTCACGAGATTCCAGCTCTTTTAGTAATCCAATAGTTTGATTTTACAGAAACGAGAATTTTATTACATTAGCCTAAATGAACAGATTTACTTACTATGACTGAACGTGTAAAAATCGAATGTTCTGCCAGTAAAGCCACTTCGCTAAACACAATCATTGACTAACCAACACCAAGAACACAATTAAAGAATGCAAAAAATACTTTTTTGCAATTCGTTGTTAATTTTATCAGCTGACTAAGTGCACGAAGCACATAATGTAGTATGAAGTAAATAGTTTTATTAATATTTTCTGCTCGGAAAAATGTAAATAAATGAGGTTAATTTTACCTTGATCCATTTAATATTTGTCAGGGCTTCATTATAGATTTTCGGTTCGATTGTGGTTAATTCAGCTAAGGTGGGGGACCAGGCATTGTAGATACACCAAGGGGTTTTCAGTTTGAAATTTCTGCCGTTTTGGGGGGACTCCGCTAAGGGCACTCCTACAGTATAACTGCCATAACTGGATGCGAAATAAAATACTGAATTCACGTCCGTAGAACAATCTAATCCTGTGATTTGAATGGCTGATGTTTCTCCTAATATTCTCCTGATGTCCAATACGTGTTCATTGTTGTTACGTTCATAGCAATTGAGATTGTAGAGTCCGTCGTCACTGATGTATCTGGCGACTAGTTTACCTTTCAGTAGGCCTACTGGTAACACTTGGTCCCCTCTGAGTATATGGGTTTCTGAAACGGTATGATAATCATTAGTTACTGACACAGAGAAAATACTCTGGGATAAATAACTACCTAATATAGGTACTTGCGATTAATAAAACCCGAAATTGATTGCATTTACATTAAACTTTGTGGCAGAATCAAAACTAATCAATTTATCACAATAGGCCATTCTATACGAAAGGCAAATGCGTCGCGTTAATGCCGCTAACGTTCAGCATCTCGAGCCGGCAAAACCATTTCGGTCCTTGGTACGAAAGCTATTTTTCACCACACACTATACCCTATTACAACTTCACCGGAATAATACAGTCAACACCACAGTCAACAAAACACAGCTTTAAGATTATGTGAAGAATTATTTTGAGGAATCGGCAAAAATAATAATAATAAACAGTTGCTAGGCAGTGGTGATAATAAAACAAGTATATTGCAATGCTATGGATACTGATTGTGCATTTAATATGCATTAATCTATACTCTATACTTATTATATAAAAATGTAATGGTGTCTGTCTATATGTGTATAACCATAGATAAAACATACTCCCTTAGTAGATTTCTCATCCTTGTGGAACAGCTGAAGACAATTTTATTGTTAGTTCTGTACGGTTTATTGTAGAGGTCGTGTTTTGTTTACAATTTTTTTCCCGTTATTACAGCCATTTAAAACCCCGTTTAACCAAATGATACGATCTAATCATAAACAATAACTTGTCCCCTAGTTATATAACCAAACAGTAAAGCACAAATCAAGAAATTAACCCTAAAATAATAGAAACAAAGCTTCGTCGACACTAGCGCCCATGTGTCACGTACATGAACTAGACATGAAAAACGTGCTTCAAAATTTACAATGAGATGAGAAGTCTACTTGTGTTGGTTAGTCTATGGTATAACTAATAGGTGCAAAAACTACTTAACCAACTGGGCTTAAATTTTACAAAAATATAACTACCATACCAAGGACCATTATAGGACTTCGACCATTATTCATACTTCGATACTGACCGTGGGCTTTGCCCTTTTGGCTTTAAAATTTCCGAGGTGAGGATTTTAAAAGTAAATATTGATTGGTGTCCATGGCTGCAATGAGAATACTCACAATGTTTACATTTGCTTTGACATTTCAATAAATAAAAAAAAAAAAAAACATATTCTAAAAGCGTTGCTGTACCAACTCAGGCTATGCTTTTGATTTTTAAAGTGTCTTAAGTGTTATGAAAATAATATTAAATATATATTTTCATGGAAACAGGAAGAAAATTACAATGTATAGATGTTTTGTATGAAGTTGGAGGCTACTTTAAATAAATTCGAACTGCTTAACATGTGTCAGATTAACTTAACATAACTTGCACATCACATTGTTTTTTTATATGTATATTTAGGTAAATTTAGTTATTGTGTTTTGCTAAGCCTATGCTCAAAGTAAACTAAAGAATAACATCAACAGCCTAACTAAATTGTATATCGTTGATTTTTGTGTTCTAAATCTGTTGTATATGTATAGCTATATTTAATAATCAATGGTAATACAAAATACTCTTATTTCATCTTAACATAGATTTCAGTTCACATTTAATTTAATTGACAAATTTATTATTTGTGTTTTGCCACACCACTGATTAAATTAAACCAAGGAAAATATAATGAAACTGAGCAGTGCACAGTGTTCTTTTGTTTCTAAAATCAATGAAATATCTGTTACGTTGTGTTTTATAAGAAAATAAGTGAACAGCTGATTTTCGGCCTTAGGATGTAAAAACCTGCTCGGCCACCAAATAACTATGACAGCTGGAATGGACATCCATACGTAGCTTTCGGCCTCCAATAAATTTTTGTAAAACGGCTTTTTAGCCGATGTTTTTGAAAAAATCGTAGTGTGTTGAAAAAATGTCACATCTGATGCTTCTGCAATAGTTGTGATTAATTACAACCCTTTAGTTGAGGTTCGTACCCTTAGGAGAAGGTTTATCGGAAAACTGATATTTTCACACTAAGACCTTTCATTCAAGTATGCGGATGATATTATTGGTACCTAAAATGGAGTTGGACTTACATAGCGCTGATAATTGTATTTTAATGTAAACAATTGTACTTTGTATCCATCTTAATAACTATTTTCATGTTTAACCCATATTATTTCATAACATGTTGAATATCTCCTTATTTTGGATGAAAAATATATCTTTTACTAAAAGGTGCTAGCCATTTTTTTATAATTCTTTGTCATATGTTCATAACAGACTTTAACAAACACTATACAGTATAATCTCATTATTACTTACTTTTCAGTGTGCATCCTTCCATTATAGGCTCCTAAAAAAATGTTATCGTGAGTAAGATTTAAAACCCATCAAAACATTTTTAGCCGCCCTTAACCATTATGCATAAGATTTTACTTACTTTTTAACGGATCTTGCGTACCACACCAAAACAACTGCTTTCCTAGTTGATTTATACTGAAAATATAGATGGAAATGCCCTTGTCAACCATTATGTTGTGATTTTAGTAGATAGTACTGTTCTGACAAATAAATCATCGGTCTTGGTAGTAGCCTTAAGAGATCGAAAAAAGTGTCTAACGAGTAACGGTTAAGATAATAATAATTACAAAACTCTGTAGTGTAAGAACTCTTAAAATACCCCCGCCGCAGCAAACCTTCAGACTAAGCGAATTTCCATTTTTGCCTGATTGGATTTACACTAAAATTCCTCCTTAAAAAATAGTAACGGTTAAGATAATAATAATTACAAAACTCTGTAGTGTAAGAACTCTTAAAATACCCCCGCCGCAGCAAACCTTCAGACTAAGCGAATTTCCATTTTTGACTGATTGGATTTACACTAAAATTCCTCCTTAAAAAATATCACATTTATTCCTTATTTAAATAGAATTATTTTAACAAGTACTTTGGTTTGCTGCAGCAGGGAGGGTAAAAAAGGGTTTTTTGTTGTAAAATGTTAATAGTTTAGGATTGACATTTCTTTACATTTACCTGATACCAAGATGAACGTTTCCAGGCTTGATAAGCAGGAAGATATTCAACTGACTTACATTTTCTACAAATGCTAAACATGGCATTGGCTGACGATTTTACAAAGACAAACTCTTTCCCACTTGTTTTGTCTCTTTCATCGATTGAAACAATTATCAAAAATCCAGAATCTCTCTTGGGTGAGCAATCGTGATTTGCTATTGTAAGAACGTGAACTTCGCCACTGAAAACACTAGAGTAGTATTTGTTGTCCGCTGATTGTTGGCAAAGTAGTACAAATCCAGGATCGTATTTCTGTCGGTACTTTGCTACCAGAACCCATGATCCTGTACTGGTAATGTCTTCCAGTATTATTTCCTCACCTGCAAAAATCGCACAACAGTAGATTTTCAGCTAAATTGTTTAGCTCAGTTATAGTTTCATGTGGTTCAATTATTTGTTTTATTTTAAATTTACCATATAATGGCTTATTTTACATAGGTTACATTAAAAACGGTTCCAGAAAAAATGGGGCTTAATTTTAATTGCATACTAAATATATAGTGAAACTTACGCTTTATAATATTCTTGCCTTCTATGTCAATGTTCTGGAGATGTCTAGTTTTCTGGAAAAAAAAATTTACTCAATTAAAGTTACACATTCTAAAAATTATTCCAGAGATGTATGAGAATGACGAAGCCCAAAAGGTATATCTTTATATCCAAACGAATTCGTGGAGAACTAACTGAGTATAGAGTTTCAGAATAGACACTGGGCGCACACTGATCCAGCATTTCACCTGAATCAAAATATTGCACAACGCTTTGCTTCAAGTGTTTTCTTCTTTGCTCATCGAGTGTATGGTAGGTTCAAGCACGACGCAGTATACTGTATTTTCAAACAACAGAACTTCATTATTATTTGTTCATTCGCTTCTACAGTAGATCCTCAACATGTTTGACGAGGAAGTCAACGTTGCCTTTACTGTATGGCAGGTTTTACAAATGCTGGACCCAGAACAAAGAAAACATTACGTTCGCCCAATCAATCAGGTGACAGACATTAGGTCTTTCTTCTCAGAAATTAAATCAGATCCAGGATAATTTTACAATTAAAATTTTTGAATATGAGTGAAATGAGAGTGGTCAGTGAGAATTAAGAATATAATAATGTGTGATGTGTGAAATTAATATGATTTTTTATGAAATTATAAATCACAGTTTGTTATATTACATATTTTTGTTTATTTGGACATGCTGAATAACGTGACAAAGTTTGTTCATATGGACTCTCCTATTAAGTCCAATGCTTTTCTTCAAAGTAGCCATGAAATCCACTCGAAATGCCTCCCAACCCGGTACGGAAATCAATAGTTTTATTTAATACTGTACGGGTTGTTTCATAAAATATCAAATATAAAGCAGTTTTACAGTATATAGTAACCGCAAATAAATAATAATTAAAACTAGCTGTTATACCCACGGGCTTCACCCCGTTTGACTGCATTAGTATTAGTAAGACAGCATATGTAATCTTTGGTAAGACTATTGACTGATTAAGTTAAGCTGAAATAAACAAAACAGAATACAGTTATACAAACAAATAATCACATCTGATTTTAATAAGGTATTAAGTGAAAGAATAACAAACAAATAAGTACAGCTGAGGTATTTTGAACATTAGGTCTATGGAAAGTTCCCTTTAGAAAGGAGTTACAACCATTAAACAATTAAAGAGCAATTTATGAAATAATAGATAGTTTTGCTTAAGGTTTCTCGCCATGACGAACATTTTAGGTATATGATTTATAGGGGTGTGACTTGTAGTTTTCTCAAAAGTTCATCGGTACTTTGGGATTTTTATATGGATGTCAGTAAATAATTTTTTCTTGTACACTAGTAATCTTGATACTGAGGTCAGTTAATGTTTGATTCATCAAATGAATGTCATACACAGCTGGTATGGTGAAGGTCTAATGTTGGCCAGCTGACTTATGCCACAACACTTGTCATTGAGAAGAAAACTATACAGGGTGATTGATATAAGTGTGCCAGTCGTTTTATTCGATAACTATAAGAGATATCAAAATACCCCCGCCGCAGCAAACCTGCAGACTAAGCGAATTTCCATTTGACTTATTTGATTTACACTGAAATGTCTACTTACAAATATAACATTTATTCCCGATTTAAATAGAATTAGTTTAACAAGTACTTAGGTTTGCTGCATCAGGGAGGGTAAAACTTTTTTGTTTTGTAAAATGTTAATAGTTGGTAAGAAATAAAAACATTTTCCAAATTTGATCAAAATATGTTCATAAACAAGCAAACTACAACAGTTTACTTATTCTCCATAAGAATAACATGGGAATTTTAAATTTACAATTTTTTGGAATTTTCTCCGTAACCATTAGGCGCATAATAACGCTACAATATACTAAATTATTTGTTTTTTTAAGCTCTACAAAATGGTTTGGAAAGAAATTGCAACATTTTATGTTTTTTGGGTCAAAAATGGGAAAAACCTATTTTTACCCCATAAAACCCCCCGTAAACCCCCGTTCCCATGGTCCGATCATGCTGGATCGCGAACTCGTTCGAATAAACGTAGGTTTACACGTTTGAACCAAATTTCATCAAAATCGGATCATTTTTGCTCGAGTTATCGTGCTAACGGACACATATATATATATATAAAAATATATATATATATATATATATATATATATATATGAATTTGAACGGATGGTGTTTTTGGCCTCTAGGGACCTCAAAACGAAAAAAAAAATCGGTCCCGCGTCCAGGTCTTACCATGAGTACTACGGTAATAGCTTATTCCCTATATGGGAAATCGCTAAAAAGTTAAAAATGGTAAGTGCCTTGGATTTTTTATTTAAAAAATTGTAGTCAAGTCAAAAAAATTATTTTAGCCACCATTTTTCCAATATGGCCGCCAACTTTGATTTTTCTTATGGAACACTCTGTATTTTATTATGTATTCTGGTAGAAAATGTAATTTTAAGACGATTTTATTCTAGTGATTTTTTTCATAAACCTAACCGTTTCAAAGATAATAATGGTTAAAGTTTTGAAATTTCTGCTTGAGAAAGAGTTTCAAAAAAGGCCTAAGCAAGCATGCCAGCTGTTTTATTCGAAAACCATTCAAAGTTTCACAACTTAAACCATTATTATCTTTGAAACGGTTAGGTTTATAAAAAAAAACACAAGAATAAAATCGTCTTAAAATTACATTTTCTACTAGAATACAAAATAAAATACAGGCTGTTCCATAAGAAAAATCAAAGTTGGCGGCCATATTAGAAAAATGGCGGCTAAAATAATTTTTTTGACTTTACTACAATTTTTTAAATAAAAAGTCTAAGGCACTTACCATTTAACTTTTTTTGATATCTCTTATGGTTTTCGAATAAAACGGCTAGCACACTTATATCAATCACCCTGTATAGAGGGTATATTACACTCACAGTTTAGGTGATTTTTACTGACATTTTATAACCACTTTTTATAATTACTACCATTTTTTAAATTAGTCTTAAAATGTGTACAATAATTTATGACCAACTTATTTCTGACCGTGATATTGCAAAACACCAATGAATGAATTTTGGAATAGTGAAATTTAGTTTTAAGTTAGCAATTATAGAATCAATAATGAGTATTCAGAGATATCCGTACACTAGCTTTAAATCACAGAATACGCTTCATAGAGCCGTCTTAGTTGTTATAACTGCACATCTAAAGTTGATAATTACAACCTAATATATACTTGCCTGTAATGACTGTTGTTGAGTCTGTGTAAGTGCTGAGACCTGATTCTGGGTTTGGTCATTTGCAGGGTTGTCTTCGTCTTCTGGTTGTAAAGGCTCGAACGGAGACTGGGGTCCAACAAACATATAGTTTACTCTTTTTATTAACGAAAATTACTTATTTAATAATTTTTATTGATTCTGGATGATTGCCTTGATCCAAAATAAAACTTTTAAATTTAGATATTTTTATTTTTTTAAATATCCTTTTAAATTCAACTGTTTGAATTAAAAAGATTCACTTTGCCGCATGGTTTGCTTACTTTACAGCACTAGTGTGGTAAAGTAACGGACCAGAGGGAATGTTTCAAGGAGTAAAATTGTAATGCTAAAACGCCAACTTGTCAGCTGGTAACGTCCAATTCAATTGTCGACCTCCCGACTTCTACTGAAAACTCAAACATAACGTAAGAATTATTGAACCAAACGATTTGCAAACCAAGAGTTTCAGGAAAGTTAATTAAAAGATCTTAAAAAAGGCACATCAGTCCTATATACGAAATAGAAGTAAGGGCTTGAACGGTTTGTACTAATCTTTTACCACCTAAATTAACATATTATTTTCCAAGTTACCCAGCTTTCCAAGTGACGAAAAAATAATAAGTTTGCAAAAATGTTTATTGATTCTTTTTCACTGATAATGTTAATAATTTAAGAGAAATTTTAATTTTATTTGTTTTAATTTAAATTTTTTAACTAAACTGTGTCCATACATTCAGTTTTGCCACAAATGTGCAATATTTGTCTATTTTGTACATGAAACAGTACTTAGGGTGTCTTGCAACCATATGAACAAACTTTGGCACGTTATTCAGCACGTCAAAATAAACAAAATACCCCCGTCGCAGCAAACCTGCATACTAAGCGAACTTCCATTTACCCGGCTTGATTTCTACTAAAATATTCCCTATAAATTTTCAGATTTATTTCCTATTTAAATAACATTAATTTTAGTGAGTAGTTAGGTTTGCTGCTACGGGGAAGATGTTGAGGTGTGTTTTTTCAATTGAAATATTGATAGCTTAGTATGAAATAAACCAAATTGCCAAATTTGATTAAAATATATCCATAAACAAGCAAACTAGAACAGTTTATTTATTCTCCATAAGAATAACATGGGAATTTTCTCCGTAGTCAATGAACATTCAATAACACTTCAATATACTAAATTGTTTGTTTTTTTAAGCTCTTCAAAATGGTCTAGAGATAAATTTAGAAATTTAAAGTTTTTAGGGTCAAAAATTAGAAAAACCCATTTTTACCCCATAAAACCCCCCATAAAACCCCGTTCCCATCGTCCGATCATGCTGGTTCGCAAACTCGTTTGAATAAACGTAGATTTACACGTTTGTACCAAATTTCATCGAAATCGGATCATTTTTGCTCGAGTTATCGCGCTAACGGACACACATATATATATATATATATATATATTAATTTGAACGGATGGTGTTTTTGGCCTCTGGGGACCTCAAAACGAAAAAGTAAATCGGTCCCGGGTCTAGGTCTTACCATGAGACCTACGGTAATAGCTTATTCCCTATATGGGAAATTCACTAAAACTGTAATATAACATGTGTCCATTCCGTTTTCGGTCCATCTGTGGGTATGTAATTTTTACAAAAAACATTCATAACTCCTTAACCACTTGAGCCACAGTGTTGGATTTTTTTTTATGTTCATCTTATTGACCAATATCTTTGTGAAAAATATCAATAAAACTCGTGAACCGATTAAAATTGGCGGCTTTTAAAAATATTCGATGCCAAATTCCATGGAACCGTTAATTTTACAAAATATTTGCAAGTGATGTAAAATCTATTAAACGTTATGCCGGTTTCAAAAATATTTTATAAGCTTAGTTTGTACAAAGAATAACTGAGAAATTAGTTTTATGTCTTACCATACCTTCATCTTTCTCCGTTTAAACAATGTTATTCGTTGTACAAACTAAGCTTATAAAATAGACCAAGATATTGGTCAATAAGATGAACATGTTTACAGAATTTCAACAATGTAGCTCAAACAGTTAAGGAGTTATGAATGTTTTTGTAAAAATCACGTAGTAGACAGATAGACCGATAACGGAATGAGATAGGACACATGCTATATTACATTTCGTGTTTGTTTTGACATGCTGAATAACGTGACAAAGTTAGTTCATATGGTTGCAAGACACCCTGTAGTAAGAGTGCTGCTAGCAGTACATATTCCCTAAAAAAATTAAAAGAAATAATTTAGGTTATGAAGTTGTACAAACCTAATTGACAAACGATCGGAAAGGAGTGTAAACAACTCGCTTAATTAGCCTTTACGGCACTCGTAGAAGTTTTTGAGGCATTCACTAAGTCTCGTGCCTTAAATTTCTATTTGTGTCGTAGAGACTATCTTTAGGTGCTGGTTGCGTTAACAACTATTTACCATTATTGCATTATAAACAGTTTCTGAGAGACTTTAGAAGGAAAAAGATGCAACAAATTATTGCGAAAATAAATAACTAGAATAGTTTGTTTTAATGAGAAAAATTGTAAACTAAATATCAGCTGTTACGGTCTTATCTCGATCAAAATATTTTGGGAATTGCCTGAGTCCGCAGGTTTGCCATAATTTATCCCTATATCAGCCTTTAACGAAACTCATCACTATTTTACACACAGCCACACCTTTAACTCCAGGCCACGGTCTGGTAGAGTTGGCAACGTCGCAAGTAGTGTTGTTTAGCACCTGATGGCTGATGTCCCTTGATAACATGGCAAACAGGTGACAACAGCTAATTAATTCGCGTATAATTCATTAAAATTAAAATTTATAAACATAAATTTGTTATGAGATTGAAAATAAAAAAAAATAGAATTTAAAACGAAAGCAATATACAAGGTGTTTGGTAGTCAGTGGCAAATAATTTCAAGGCATTATTAAACACGCAAATTGCGATAAAAATACGCTATTTGGATAGTTATATCTCACTCCTACTTCCGGCAACAGCCATTTTTACAAATTTATTGACATTGCCTAATAAAATCTCATATTTTTCAACTTTTAAACTACATAATGATAATTTCAATTGCATTTTTAAAATTGAAATTAAATTTTTATCAGAACACGTATAATATGGTACAGCTTAACTCATTCAAAAGGTTATATTTTTATATTAAGGTATTAACACGATTTCAGCTTGCTGGGAATGAATTTCTCAAAATGTGTTTTTAATTCTAATTTACTGGCCTAAATAGTAAATGAGTTTATTTTGTATAATTTTATTCTAAACCTTAATAAGTGAATATTTTACGGAATAATATTGCTAGTTTTACAAAACGATTGTTGAATTATAATCGTTTACTTTGACGAACATTCCAATAACCACTCTGCCGGTGTGTTTCATTGATGTTATCCTTAATTATTCTCATAATTTTATATTGGTTAATTTAATTTTATGATTGGCTAAACTATAGCTTGGACCGTGGTATTTAAGCATTCCATTCCCTCACCTCTACGATACGCCATCCAGGTTTAGTGGTTGTTTGTATTTCTCCATTAGTGTCCTGTAAAGATCCCGTTGATTCTTCGGGCCAAAAGAAAAAGAATATCATGACATTCTCATTTGGGTCCTTTTCTTCGTCACACCCATAATACCAGCAATATGGTTCTTTCAGACGATTCCCATATTTTAATCTGTCTTCGGAGAGAATCCATTTGTTACCCTTAGTAGTGACGACCTTATACTCGTAAAATTGGTTTTGTAAACAATTTATGCCTGTTATTGTCCCAAATTTGACTCCGCTAGGAGAGGCAATTACAGAAATGTAGCTGTTTTCAATTTTGTAGCAACGAATCAGAAATCTTACGGACGCATTTGAATAAAACATTTTTTTGAAGTCCTTTTTTTTTAGCTCCTTGCCGTCAAAATAATCTTTTTCATCTGAAAAAATATATAAAACAAATTCAATCGAAAAGTTTGTTAAATAAATGTTATGTCAATTAAGTAGATAAGCCGAGGAAAAAAATATTAGTAAAATAAAAAATAAATAAATATGAAATACGACCCAATTTTTTAAGGGCAGCTAGCAGCAAGTTTAAATTATGTATATCTACACTATCTAGGCTATGTTCAACAACTTTCCTCAGACTCACTGTGAACCACAGTCAACAGGAGTCGTTGATTGGTAACTGCAGAGATATTCATGTTTAATAGGTTTGGGACTATTGTGATACAGGGCAAATTACTCACTATGTTGTTTGCTTATGCCATTGGATATTGGATACTGAAGTAGACATCCCATCCATATGGACCAGCTGTCGAAAATTTTTTATTAAAAAAGAAAGTAGATGTGTGAGCCAATCAAAGAATGCACTAGTGTCTAAAATTCTAATTTATACCTTATTGTTTGTTGCTGACCACGTTGATGGATCATAACAATTGTTATAGCTCACCACAAGTCATACCCAATGTTTGACTTAACAAGTAAACAAGTTTGTAGGTGACTTGTGACTTGTAGTGCAATCTGTAGGTGACTCACACCAACTACGACGATTTGGATAAAAAATCTGGCTACAAATTTAACATGGGGATGGAATGTCTATATACATTCCATCCCCATGTTAAAGTTGTAGCCAGGTGTTTAATAAAATTTGTCTTAGTTGGTCTGAGCCACCTACAGATTGCGCTGATCTAAATTACTGATTTATGCCGATTACATGATGGTTTTTACCAAGTCAAACTGATGGAATAACTTATTATGAGCTATAGCAACTGTTGTGACCCAGCAACTATGTCAGTAACGAAAAATAAGGTACAAAATAGAGTTTTAGACACTAGGGCAATCTGTGACTGGCTCACACAACTACATTCTTTTTTTATTAAAAAAATGGCGACAGCTGATCCATATAGATGGGATGTCTTCGTTATACCTAAAAATATATCATTGACTGATATATTTTTATTGACTGATACTGCGACTAGCAGAAGTGACAATTTGGAACTTATTGTTTTATCTCAAGAGTATTACGATCTGTGTGTCATGCGTGCTTTGGTGTTGGAAATAAATGTGTTCTTATTTTTAATAAACTTGATCATGACATATTGTTTTATAAATTGTGGTTAATTTAGTTGTTGTTTAGATGCACAGCGGCTTCAATAAAATCAACGGCGTTATTTTAAAATTAAGCTGCTTGCCATTATTTTCAAGGGACCAAAATTGTCTCTTCTGGATCTTAACCCCGTTGCAAGGCACGGGTATAGCGGCTAGTTTTTTTTTCTAAAATAATGAAATAAGTATGCAAGTTTTACTTACGTTTGAATGTTATTGGCTGACTTATGATTGTAAAGCCTGGCTGCAACGTAAAACTGTCATTAGACTCTAGTGTCAATCACATAATAGGTCTTTATCATAACACAACAAAAGTGCATAGTAGTGTTTAGGCATGTTTCATGGAATTAAAACGGACTGTTTAATAGTTAATACAGTTAGTTTAAACACCATCAAGATAACTAAATGTTTTCTAGGTTATTAGTATATAGTAGTTATTAGTAATATTAACATATTAACATATTAGTTATTAGTATTAACAGATATTACTGTTTATACATTATTGACCGGAGTGTGCCAAGCTCTTATAGGCTAGGCATATTAGGAATATAAGTGACAGTTAGCGGAAAGTTTAGGTACAGTCCTAATCATCACTTTTCTTTATGTTTTTTGGGTCGCTGAACACGAATATGAGGTTTGCTGACAGATATTTTGCCCGGAACATTGGTTATTTTGTGAAAAACCTTCAAATTTGGGCACATTTTTTGGTTCTCTTGGCAAATCTCAGTAAGTATGGGGTTTTGAGAAAATCCTGCTTTGTAAAATTAAAGATGACAAAATTTACTACAAGTTTCCTATATAATGTTTGTTTCTACGACGAACCGTTTTGCCACTAGAGCACATTCAAAAAGGCCAAAAGTACAAAAAAATTAAAAACATTGCTAAATGCTACCGTTTTACATTACGTTTCCATGGAAACAACCCATGTTACGATAATTTTAACTATTTATTCATGATAACAAACTGAAACACACTTAAAAATACCCCCGCCGCAGCAAACCTGCAGACTAAGCGAATTTCCATTTCCCTGATTGGATTTATACTAAAATGTCTCCTTAGAAATATCACATTTATTCCCTATTTAAATAAAAGTTTAAAGAGTACTTAGGTTTGCTGCAACAGGGAGGGCAAAGAGGTGTTTTTTGTAAAATGTAATAATTTAGTATGAAATGAATGCATTTTCCAAATTTGATCAAAATATGTTCATAAACAAGCAAACTACAACAGTTTACTTAGTCTCCATAAGAATAACATGGGCATTTTAAATTTACAGATTTTTGGAATTTTCTCCGTAAGAAGGACAAGAAGTGTTTTAGTTCTTCATCAGAATTCTTAGCGATGCTGATACGTTGAAACAATGTGTTGGGGTTTACGGGTAAGAATTCTCTACTTTCATCGCGTTATTTATTATGGCAAGTAGCTGGACACGGTCTACTCGTCTGAATTTGACGTTACCAAAGTTAATTATCTACAACTCTTTTAATGTATTTCATCCTTTTTTCTCAACCACTATAGCAGTCAACCCTGTGGCCAGCAACATCCCTGTGCTGAGAAAATAAATGGGGGTTTTGTGGGAACAGGAAATGTTCCAGCAAGTCAGTCATACATCTTGGCATAGATTTTAGATTTATCAAGTGTGTTTCAGTTCATTATCATGAATAAATAGTTCAAATTATCGTAACATGGGTTGTTTCCATGGAAACCCAATGTAAAACCTTTGTAAAACGGTTAGGGGTTATTTTTATTTTTGGTTTTACATCGGACTATGGGAACAGGGATTTATGGGGGGTTTTATAGGGTAAAAATGGGTTTTTCCTATTTTTGACCATATAAACTAAAAAAAATGGCTGCGATTTCTTTCCATACCATTTTGTAGAGCTTAAAAAGCAAATAGTTTAAGCGTTTAAGTTAAAGCTTTGTTATGCGCCTAATGGTTTCGGAGAAAATTCCAAAAATTTGTAAATTTAAAATGCCCATGTTATTCTTATAAGGACTAAGTAAATTGTTGTAGATTGCTTGTTTATGAACATATTTTGATCAAATTTGGAAAATGGATTCATTTCATACTAAATTATTACATTTTACAAAAAAAACCTTTTTGCCCTCCCGGTTGCAGCAAACCTAAGTACTCGTCAAACTTTTATTTAAATAGGGAATAAATGTGATATTACTAAGGAGACATTTTAGTGTAAATCCAATCAGGGAAATTGAAATTCGTTTAGTCTGCAGGTTTGCTGCGGCGGGGGTATTTTTAAGTGTGTTTCAGTTTGTTATCATGAATAAATAGTTAAAATTATCGTAACATGGGTTGTTTCCATGGAAACGTAATGTAAAACGGTAGCATTTAGCAATGTTTTTAATTTTTTGTACTTCTGGCCATTTTTAGTGTGCTCTAGTGGCGAAACGGTTCGTCGTAGAAACAAACATTATATAGGAAACTTGTAGTAAATTTAGTCATCTTTAATTTTACAAAGCAGGATTTTCTCAAAAACCCATACTTACCGAGATTTGCCCGAATAACCAAAAAAAGTGCCCAAATTTTAAGGTTTTTCACAAAATAACCAATGTTCCGGGCAAAATATCTGTCAGCAAACCTCATATTCGTGTTCAGCGACCCAAAAAACATAAAGAAAAGTGATGATTAGGACTGTACCTAAACTTTCTGCTAACTTTCCTAATATGCCTAGACTATTAGTCGTCAACTCTCGTGCATTTCGTAATACGCAAACTCCGCCTAGACGGCTGAAGCAATTATTTTCAAATTTTGCATGGCGATAAAGACTATATCAGTGAGTGCTAAAATCGATATGGCGTTAAACAAATTCTCTATGGAATCCGCCTACAGGCTCTCAAAATTTCAATGTAATCCTTGGAAGCAGTATTTTACACATGAACAAAAAAGGCATAAGAACAGCTGTTGACTTTAAGGAATGATTGTAACTGTTATCACGGATAATAATAGTAAACTGTAATAGTAAAATGTATGGCTCGTAAACATAAATCAATTATGTCATTAGCTTGAACCAATAATAACAAAACGTATGGTTTGAGCGATAATACAAACATATTTGCATCCGGGCTAGTGACGTCAAATGCCGTTTCTGTTCTAATATTCTTGCTGCTTGATTAATTCTTGGTTTAAGTTGACTAGGTATATTTATACCGGGTGAATACAAAGTCAAGAGCCCCCTCTCTAATATTTTTCTAAGTAAATATACAGAGATATCCTTTTGGTGGTCATGCAACCTTAGAAGGAAGTTTTATTTTATGATTGTAAAATTGTTGAGCGTCCCCCATAACCCCTTATGGGATTTGGGGGGCAACTCAAAACTTTTTAAATGTAAACCCCCATCAAGCGACACCTCATTTTGAAGTGTTTACAAAAACTTAAAGAATGGTGAAAACCAGAGTTCGCTATCTCTTCTCTATCCAAAATGGTAGCCAATATTACCATTACGAACCAATATTACCATTGATTTTCCACAACATTTGACGGGCTACCATTTTGGAGCGTGTATCCTTATCTACTCAACAACGTTGTTCAGATTTCGTACCTCTGACCACCTCGTTTCCTCCTTTGGCTTAGCTTCGTCAATGTTAAGTCTGAAGTTTTGCGACTTGCAAGTGACGCATGCGTCGTAACGACACCACCTCGGCCCAACCTGGATTCCAACAGACAAGTAATCTTCAGAGAGTCCTTTCCATGAAGACACGTGCAACTTTTGAAGATCGCTTTTAGATGAACATTCCAATCGTTTAACTTCAACGGAAAATAAAACCAAATCTTCTCCTCTCAGTAGGATTTCTGAAGAATAAAACTTTCCGTCATTGTCTTCGTAGCATTCTAACTTTACTGCGAATTTTTTCGTCATGGCTAAGTATGTTATTTTCTTATTGCTCGATTCTTGTGTGTTCTTGAGTTCAGGTACTTTCTTAAAAAGTATGTCCTTCTCTAAAAAAAAAAACAAACGAAAATGTATTATTTGGGAATAGATTAGGCCTACACAACGTTGTTCAGTGATGCATTTTCTTAGTTACACTTGAGATTTTGTGTAGGCCTGATAGAGTGAATGCTTGGTTAACTCATTGACAAGGTAGAAAAATGTAAGGGAATAAATAAAATAACTAAATAATTGAATTATGTAACCCCAGGAAAAAGGGAGGAATGTGTTACTTCAGATATTGCTTCGAATCATTTAACATCAACCACTACAAAGCAAATTGCATACAATGTGGTAAACCATATTTATTTCAAAATATAAAACAGTAAAATTTAGGTAACCATAACCCATTCTTTTGAAATCCATAATACCATGACGGAAAACAGGATATAAGCGAATCACTAGATTTTATTGAATGTTGTCCAAGTCAGTACGAAGTTAAAGGAGGTGTATGTTAACAATTGCTCAAGTGCAGTATAACAATTTGACGCTCAATAAGTAAACAGGCGTAACCCGAGGAAAACACAAATAAATGAGGTTTCTTCAATTGGGTTTTAAGTAAAATTATTTATTTATTTATTCGTACATACGGCAATCACCATTTTACAAAATATGTTTCATTAGGTATACAGAATATTATTATACATTTTTCTTTCAAGCCGCTTATTCAGTTTTTATTTTTTGCTTATTCAGTGGAATAAGCCGTTTCCCAAGTTAAGTGAAGAAGATTCCATAAAACTTCCATCTATTGACATGGGATAAAAGATAATAACTGCGTTTAGTTTTCAAATAATTAAATATTAGGTGTTTAATTAGTCCGAATTAGTAGGAGGGTGAAATAGTCCGTACTTTAAGAAGCATTAAAAAGTAGGTTGCAAAATATATTTAACAACGAATAAAACTTATTGGCAGGTTTATAAATATCTGTTCCAGTTATTAGAATTAAAACAAGCCTGCAAAACATAACTTTCGTCTATCAAATGTCCTTCCAAAAAATAACTGATATGACTATATTCTGGTTAAAAATAATTGATAACAAACGACTTTGATGGTTCCGTAGTATAATAACACCCTTCTCGAGGGTAAAACTACTTATGGAACCCTACCCTGGTTGAAAAGCCTCAGTCAACAGGGCCTAGCATAGCAAAGCCGGGTTTACACGAAGCCAGTAGGCGAGACAATTGTCTTAACCAATCGTCATCGCGTTTTTGCGGACTTGTCGTAAGCTTGTCAAGTTGAACGAGAACCTGTTCACACATGGCCAACAATTGCCTAGGCATTTGAAAGTGAATTAGTATACAACTACCAAAAGACAAGACAGCGCTATTGGCCAACACCGTTTACACAGCGCTAATGGTCGCGACAACTGGGTTTTCGGGTGGTGGGGGCCTCGCTGGGCCCAGCTCATTGTCCTCAGTCTACTCTCGGAGACAACTGAATTTTGGGGCAATTGTGAGGGCAGTTGGCAAGGCAAATGTGTTTACACGAAGCCAATAATTTCATGCCAGTCAGTTGTCTTCCGAAACTTGTCTCATTAACTGGCATGTAACATGAAAACCCGGCTTAAAAAGCCGCAATCCCCTCCTCCATCTTTAAAATAAGCAAGTAATCTTAACAAACTTACTTGTGTCGAAAGGGCAATTGTTTGAATCCTCCTGAAACAATTAACTTTATTAGAAAACTTTCAGTATCAATGATTGATTATTATTGTAACTAAACATTAGTAATATTTTTTCGTAACTATTGTTTATACAATTCTTAACCGAATTCAGCTAAAATGTAACACGGAATTTATTACCACATATACAGGATGTTTTTTAATGCAACCTAAATAATCACAACTACATCAAGACACCTTTTACCGAAAAAAAACAGCTTACATGTTGGTATCCCTGTATTCTTGAATTAATTACTAATCAACTTTATGAAATTGGTGCGTAGTTACTCATGGATTTTAGAGTTATTGAATTATATTGTCGTAAATAAGACTCAACGTGGTGTTTTCGCAAGCTCAAATAGAGTATGCATATAGGTTTACGTTTTTTGTTTTTTCCATAACTGATTTTGTTAGTTTTTGAAAATTATAAAAACGATTGTTTTTTTTCAGGAACTGGAATTGCAATTGCAAACTTAACTTCAAGCCTATCTTGGCATAATGCCAATGATTTACTTTTAATGTGCAATACATTTTTTTTGAGCATGCGAAATCCACACTTCGAGACTTATTCACAACCAATTCTTAATTACATTAAAACTCATATAACTATGCAAAAATGCATATCAGCTGATTGAAAATGAAGTACAAAAAACTGGGATACCAACATGTAAGGATGTTTTGTCGTTAAAACGCATCTTAAGGTACTTTTCATTTGGGTTGCGTTTTAAAATAAATGTCCAGTATAACATGAGGGTTAGCCTGTGTATAACATGTGTGTATCACATTACATAAATGGCGAAGAATACGTTGCTAAAAATTACTAATAATGAAAAATACCCCAGCCGCAGCAAACCTGCCGTCCAAGCGAATTTCCATTTGGCTAAACTGATTTTCAATTTATCTATTTTAATAACATTAGGCGTAACGAGTACATAGGTTTGCTGCTACAAGGAAGTGTGTTTTTAGGTAAAATAATTATAGCTTAGTACAAAATTAACATATTTGCCAAGTCTGATCAAAATATATCCATAAACACGCAAACTACAACATTTTACAACATTCTCCTTAAGAAAAACATGGGAATTTTAAATTTACAATTTTTTTAGTTTTCTCCGTAACTAATAACCATATGAAAACACTTTGATATGCTGAATTGTTTGTTTTTTTTAAGCTCTTTAAGAAGGTTTAGAGAAAAATTGGGAAATTTTATGTTTTGAGGTTCAAAAATGAGAAAAACCCATTTTTACCCCATAAAACCCTGTTCCCATGGTCCGATAATGCTGGATCGCGAACTCATTCAAGTTTATCCCGCCTTACACCTTCAAACCAAATTTCATCAAAATCGTATAAAAATTACTCAAGTTATCGTGTTCGAGGACATATATATATATACACACACACACACACATATATATATATATATATATATATATATATATATATATATATGGGTACCTATATATATTCTTGAGGAGATCTTGATAGAGTTTATGATAAATGAAACATGAAACATTGCAAATTTTCGTTTAATACAAACGTTTTCAAGCAAAGAGAATGAAAAATGTAAAGATGAACAAATAATAAATATGAACTGTTTACAAATACAGTAGTTTAATTTGAGAACATATGATTGAGTACAGATCAAAGAAAATAATAAAATCAGCCTAAAGGAAAATTAAAATTCAGCTGAGTTGAATCACCTTTTTACTATCTTAAATTTAAACCAGAGGGGAACTTTGTTTTCAGTACCAACTGGTGAGCCAATTCAGAATTTCTTAAAACCAGTTGGTTGCATTTAGGTATTTGATGTGGGTTTACTTTGTGAAGGGCTTTAAGGGTATAGCAGCCTTCAAAATTTTGGTTGTGGTGAGCGGCATGATTATAGATTGGTTTTCTCTTGTCTTCATGTACCACATCAAAACGATGGCCTGACATTCGAACTCTTAAAGAGTTATATATATATAAATCTATATATATATCTAAAAAATTTGAACGAATGGTGTTTTTGGCCTCTGGGGACATCAAAATGAAAAAGTAAATTGGTCCCGGGCCTAAGTCTTACCATGAGACCTACGGTAATAGCTACTTCCCTATAGGGAAATTCGCTAAAAATAATATGAAAGAATATTTTATGTGTACAGAGAAAATGTCCACATTGGTCGGGTTCACGAGTAACATTCGCCTACGTGTTTTAAACACAAAATGGTTACCCACCTCGTACCACTGATGCGGTGGATCAACCTCAGGTTTGTAGTTGATGAGAACATTAGTATAAAGTTTTTCTTTAGTTCTGACCATATTGTGCCAACACACTACTTTGTCTCCTTTTCTTACTCCATAAATTAGTTCCTTGTTTACTTTCTCCGCGCTGGAGGTAAACATGAGTAAATTCTTTATGTTAACCTTACTTGAACAATCAAAGTCCTTCAATGTCAAGAAATCATTTTCAACAACAGCTGTGTTTTCCTTTGTGCAACAACGCATTGTGAGTCCTGGGTTGAAGTTTGTGGTGTAAGTCGTGATATCCTCATCAGAACATAGCTCGTGTCCAAATGTTTTGCCTTTTCCTAATTTCTTTCCTGATAACAAAACCTTGACTTAGTACATCAGAGGCAAAACATTTACCATTTATATTTATGTTGCATGTATTGATATTTTAAATTTAAATGATTACCTGATCATTTGAAGTACAAAATACCCCCGCAGCAGCAAACCTACAGACTAAGCGAATTTCCATTTGCCTGGTTTGATTTTCAATTAAATCTATTTAAATAACATTATGTTTAACAAGTTCCTAGGTTTGCTGCTACAGTGAGGATAAAGTGTTTTTTTGTGAAATATGAATAGCTTAGTATAAAATATAAATTTGCCAAGTTTTAACAAAATATATCCATAAACAAGCAAACTCCACAGTTTACTTATTCCCCATAAGAATAACATGGTAATTTTATATAAACGATTTATAAAATTTTCTTCGTAACCAATAACCGTAAAAAACACTTCAATATACTAAATTATTTGTTTTTTAGCTATTTAAAAATTTTAAAGAAGGAGTTGGGAAATTTTTAGTTTTAAGTGTTTAAAATGTGAAAACCCAATTTTTACCCAAAAAACACCCCGTAAAACCCTGTTGCAATAGCCCGATCATGCTAAATTGGCGAACTCATTCAAGTTTATCCCACCTAACACCTTCAAGCCAAATTTCATCAAAATCCGAAAAAAATTACTCAAGTTTTCGGGTTCACGGACGTATATAAATATAAATGTAGGTATGTATAAATTATGTACATGTATACATACATACAAATTTGATCGAATAGTGTTTTTGGCCTCTAGGGACATCAAAATGAATCCTGGGTAAGGGTCTTACCGTGCCACCTACGGTAATGACTACTTCGCTATATGGTATACAATACTGTTGGAACTACTATATAAGTCCGGTTACAAAACAAACATCGCTAAACTCATATTGTATGGATTCCAAAATGTTTTATATAATAATCGAAATAGTTATTTGTGTAACTAGTGGGCGAGAGAAATGTTTACGCACGAGCCGTAGGCGAGTGTGGAAAGTTTCTCGAGTGCAGCAAAGGCAGTTTGCACTCGTGTTACAAATTAAATTTTCCCAAACCAAATTTCATCAAAACCAATTAATTAAATTAATTTAATAGTAACTTTTAGTAATTTTATTGTTTATGGTTTGTCATTTACTTAGTTTTTCAAACACCGTTCAACACGTATTACGTTAGGTTAAATCCGAACGAATTGGGAAACGCTGCACCAGCTGATCGTAGTCGTAATATCTCTAACCTATATATCAACCTATAATATCTCTAACCTCTTAGTTGCCAACTTATTTTCAAGCGTACACGGATTACATGCATAATAAAAGCACACTGTTTTGTGTTGTTTCGTTGGAATACTGTTGTGTGCCAAAGTAAAAACTGCGCACCAAAGTAAGGCTTTCTATACTATAATCTGTGCAAAACAAAGTTTCACTTATTTGGTCAGTCAAAATGTCCTTTTCCAAATTACTGTTCATACTCCGTGTTTTATGCATTCCATCTTAATATCTTTACAATAACTTGTTACACTACCGTTAAATTTCATGCTTATAGAGTTCATGTTAAGTGTTAGTATGTATTCAAATATAGTTAATTAAATAATTAGGACTACTCACTATCTATTATAGACTGACAACCTTCCTTGTCTTCGTATTTCTGAAACAGGATTAAACTCAGTAAATACAAATGTAAAAACGTTGAGGTTAGCTACACCAATGGCAAAACTATTCTTAACATATTTCCATTCTAAGCTAAAGTGTTATCTACGTATCCATGTAAGATCGTTATTCAAAAGTAGACTAAAGCAAACTTTGCTTGGGATGCAAATCTGCTGTGCCGTACTTTCTTTAATTGGGAATAGATAGCATAGTGATATTCCAAAATCAACAATATGAATCATACTAAAATCAAGTGTATCTATTCCCAATTTAAGAAATTTGCTAAAATGACAAATCAATGACCGTTCCATTCTCCATCCTTTCATATTCCCATTTCTATACGCATGAAAAGTGCTTTGGTGTCCTAACTAAAAGAGTAAGAGGTAACACTTACCACGAAATAGGAGTAACGGTACGATGCCCTTTGACCAAACTCGTAAAAAAAGAGCCAAATTTTCTTGTCATCTCTCGTCAGCTGTTCTATACACGATCTATTTTCACAATCAATGTAATCATATCCCTTTGTTTCTTTTTTTCCTTCAAAGAATCCCATGTATACTTTTTTAATGTCATTCAAATCTTTTAAAACTATGGGTGAAAAATGTGTTCCAAACGAATTTCTGAGTACAAAGCCAGTTTTGGACGGATGCATAATTATAATATTATAATCTTGTGGTTGGTAGTAATAATTACTAATGACGTCTTCATCATCAAAACCTGTAAGAAAGATGAATGAGTTATAAATATTAATTATACGTTTTTACTTTCCCTCCTATAATTAAGAATATTGAATAGTGTGGTGGATACGGATAAAGTATTGTTTTCATCAAAATGGTCGAGTTTGAGTTTTGAGTGGATATATACGAAGGGTGCACAGAAAGATCGATCACAGTCCAAAAACCAATATTTTTCAGGAGAGCGTTTTAAAAGTTTAAAACATTATACTTTCTTAACTATTAATTTTAAGTTTACTTTTGCATATGTATTACTTTGGAGTACTATCTGTTTGTAAAAGTAAAGTACATTATGAAATGTATCTCCATATTAAACCTCCCAAAAAAAGTTTTATTGTATCATGGCATGGACTCTGATCGTTATTACTCTGGATTTAATCTATTTGAGTATGGAGTAAAAATAATAAAACCAGTTTAGTAAAGAGTTTAATCTTAAAAATGTTAAATTGAAACATTAACTTAATATTATAAAATAAAAATTGTTTTTAATGAAATATACAAATGAAATAATTATATAAAAGTTATTGCAAGAAGACCTATTAATGTTTGAAGGTTAACTTGCTAAGCACAAGCTTGGGAACTATTTGTCTTCTTTTGCTCGAGTCTTAAATCTGAAATACAATAAACTATTGTTAAATCTAATAATATACATTCCTGATTTTACTAAAGACTAAACAATACCTAATCTTAACTTTAAAAATCACTGTTTCTTGCTTCGTCATCTTCTCCAACGTTGCCTGGCCGTTGGTGGTGAAGTGAGTTTATAAAATCCTGAGCTTCTTGTCTGCAATACCGTTTTAAAGATTGAAGGTCATTAATCTTCTCGTTTGACAAAGGAATCGGTCCATCATACGCTTTTTCAAGCTGTACTTCTTGTAGGTGGCACGGTCGTTCATTTTTATTCTTCTTATTTTGTCCTTTCTTGACGATAGCTGTGGAGCTAAAAGCACCATTGTATGTATCACGATTCTGGACTGTCTGCGTGTTTTCAGATCTGAATATCATCTGTTTGATAGGACAGGTTTCTGCGTTGAACTTCATTTGGTAGTTAGTAGCCAAAGCCTTTTCCCAAGCATAAAACATTTCCTTATTACAATCCACAACAATAAAAGGACTAAGCTTCACTCTTGCGCTAGCGATTGCATTTCGCCAGTCTTCTGGTGTTTCCGCAGGGGTTTTTTGATTTACGAGTCCGACATTTTTGTCACACTCCATGTATGAGTGTCCTCTGATCGGGTATGTTACTGTGATCTTGTCAAACCTTTTCAGAGCTACTGTTACATAGTGTAAAAACTTTATAATAGTCTTATTTTTATTTTGCCCTCCACACGAGTCACAAAAAATGTGGATTTCTCGGACATCAGGGCTTAGAATGTTCATGAAAAAACTGTACATCTGCAAAGCTACATCATCACTTCCCTTTTTAGCTATAGTTTGGTCATACGTATAAAATACAGATGTGCCATTTGAAAGAATATGAATGTTAAACATATAAACACTTAGTTGTCATTTGTAGTAAACTTCCCCTGTAGATATATTTGGAATAGGAAGATTCTTGCCATAATCCATTGTGATTGCTTCAAATTCTTTAATTTTCATTGCACGCTTCCTAGCTGATTTTTTTCCGCATAGAAACTGTCTGCTTTTCTTTTATGTAACTCCATTTCAGTTTTTAGAGTTTTCAGTTGCTCATCTAGTTTTTTAATTTCATTCAAATCGGTTGCATTACATTTAAGTGTCTGAATTTTTGTCTCCTGTGCTTTCTGAGCATCACATGTGCTGCTTGTGTCAGAACGAGGATGGCCGAAGGCAAATTTATAGTTGTTTTGAGCATATTGCCTAAACTTTTAATACGAAATTTCAATACCAATGTTTTTCTGTAAAAAAAGTTCCAACAATTTCTTGTAGTTTAAGTGCTCAGAAAGATACAATTTTTTCGAATCTTTCAAACTGTAGTGAGCTTTACGTCCCTTTAGGGATTTAAAAAAATCATCCATTGCATTGTACGTTTCTTGTGATAGTTTGTTTTTCCCCCTGTTTTTGTGTTTGCCACGTTTATCAATAGGTGCTAATCCAGTTGATGCAAGTGAATCTCTAATAGTTTGAAGACGTCGGTTTGTAATACCAAATATCGATAAAAAGCCCTTATAACAAACAGGCACTTCTGCCAAGCAAGTGTCCCTACTAACTCTTACTTTGTAGGAATATGAAAAATTATTTAATTTTTCATCCTGTTCAGCCTGCCTGGGTCGTCTACGGTTAATCGTCTTAACACTAACCATACCTGATAAGTACGCATTTTGGGCATTCCTATCCGCTAAATCATTAAAATGTCGAATTAAGGCACCCCTCTCTTCTTGTGAAACATTTTCGAAACATTTGTAGCGAGGAACAGTGACAGTCAACGCCAGTTTCGTAGGTTGAATTTCTCAGTTTTTTAGAGGCTTCGAACATACTTCTATATTTCCGCTTTTTGATAGAGGCACTCTCACTAACACTTCTATCTTCACCTTCATCACTCACTTCATCCCTCATTGCCACAAGAAATAATCTTAAAACACTGTTAAGCAAATAAACCAACACTCATATAAGACCAACACACCAACACACCAACACATCAGACTGACTGGAGTGACTGCACTACTAAAAGTAGGGTTAGGTTCGTGCGACTGGTGACTTGAGCGCTGAGCAGCTGATTGAGTCATTTGGACTATGACTGATACTTCTCTGTTCGCTGGTGACCCTGATCGTTACTTCTCTGTGTACTAAAACTTCAAACGTGAATAACGAGGACCCTGATCGAATATTCATTGAAACATTTACACATGGTCATACATCTACGTCATAGCTTTCAAAAGCCATCATAATCTAAAAATTCGTTTTTTGGACCGTGATCGTTCTTTCTGTGTACCCTTACCCCTGTTTTGGGCCCCCATAACACCAAAAAAGTGGTTTTCGAAGTTATGCTTGTCATTGTGTGTGCGTGTATGTGTCTTTCTGTATACGTGGATGTGTATAGGCTATAGACAACACCAAAAGTGCTATAGTGGGAAAATTTGTTTTTGTAGGTACTAATTCATGATATCTCCAGGTGTCTAATTTTTTTATTTAGATTTTTTAAACTGTGATTTTTTCAAAAAAAAAATCATAGATACCAAGTGTGGTATTGTAATGTATCTATCAACTGTGGTATTGTGGTGTTTATAACAAGTGTGGTGTAGTGGTGTATCTATCAAGTGTGGTATTGTGGTGTATATAGCAAGTGTGTTGTAGTGGTGTATCTATCAAGTGTGGTATTGTGGTGTATATAGCAAGTGTGGTGTAGTGGTGTATCTATCAAGTGTGGTATTGTGGTGTATATAACTAGTGTGGTGTAGTGGTGTATCTATCAAGTGTGGTATTATGGTGTATATAGCAAGTGTGGTGTAGTGGTGTATCTATCAAGTGTGGTATTGTGGTGTATATAACAAGTGTGGTGTAGTGGTGTATCTATCAAGTGTGGTATTGTGGTGTATATAGCAAGTGTGGTGTAGTGGTGTATCTATCAAGTGTGGTATTGTGGTGTATATAGCAAGTGTGGTGTAGTGGTGTATCTATCAAGTGTGGTATTGTGGTTAAAAAAAATAAATAAATAGAAATGCCTTTTTCCGAGCGTCTTTCAGTACAACAACAGTTTTACAAAGTAGCTCAGGCCAATATAACTACTTAATACCCCCGCCGGGTATATGAATTTGAACGGATGGTGTTTTTTAACCTCTAGGGACCTCAAAATGAAAAAAAAATAAATCGGTCCCGGGTCCAGGTCTTACCATGAGTACTACGGTAATAGCTTATTCTCTATATGGGAAATTCGCTAAAAATCTACAACAATTATGATACAAAAACATTGTGTTTGACAGAATTACAGGCTATATATAATTGTGTAACTACCAAGTGTGATGTTGTGGTGTGTATTTAGCAAATATGTTATCTTTATTTGTAATTGTCGCTTTGGACCGGTCATTAAACTCTATAGAAGAGTACAGGAAAGTTATGTCTTCCATCACAGTTCTTATACCAGCATGGATATTATTTGTAGCCGGTTTCAGGTCCACGACGGATTTTAACTAGGTGACTGTATTGAACCAATACAGATTGGTATTGAACAATTGGAAGATAGTTTGTGGATATTTGTATTATACTGTGGTTATTAACAGCATCCTTATTTACTTCTTTATTTACTGGTTGTACTCATTGTATTATCATGAGATGGCGAGAGAACTGGTCCAATCGATGAGCGCGGAGCTTCGGAGCCCGAGGTCACGGGTTCAATCCATCAATCATTTGATTGTAATCTATGTGATAACAACGCGACCCTCTTGGAGTAGCCTAAAGTAATGCTTGAGAACAGTTCCAGACTGGAATAAAGCGTCCTAAGGATGTGAAGGTAAGACATAAAAATACAAGGGGTAAAGAGTTTCTAGACCTATTCTAGGTTGTTCTATATTTCATAATTGTATGAAACATTTTATTTGATTGTAATCCACGTCTGAAGTATCTCAGATGAAACTCACTATTTTTATTTAAACGCAATGAGGTTAGTACATTCCTAAAACTTAACGATGTTTCTTAAACCAAAGCTATTTGTTTATAGTAAGTTACCACAAAATCACACTAAAATTTGTTTATCTTACAACTAAAAGATTAAAACTATATTTAACATTAATAATGGGTTTATATGGCGAGCGATTCGGATCAAAACATATTACTTAAACTTTTACTACCAGTACTTTTACTTGGCGAATCTCCAACATGTATTAATCTTAAACTCTTTTTGAGAATATTGAAAATGTTTCATTGTACAACACTAGGCCTACCACAAGATTTTAGTTACCCATTTTACGATACCATGAACTGTTTCTTTCAAAAGGTTATTTTAATTATTGAATACGGTGCTTAAGATTATTTTATAAAAATGTTTTACTCAATATATTAAGTAATTAGTGAAATAAATATTGATAAAATTATTGTTTCTCCTCACGTACTTGTGTCATCAACTCGTTTCCAAGGGACGGCAGCCTGAAAAACACATTTTAGTTACGACTCAAATTTAAGGAAATCAACAAGTGGAAAGTGCGTTATGTAGAACAAAAATATAGAGTAACATAAATAGCATGACTTCAGTGTATTGCAACATTAACATTCAAACAGAAAATGTTATACTGTACTCATCACTTACAATACTGGAATGGTAGCTGCCTCTAATCACAGAAAACGTACTAGTAGTACGTTTTCTGTGCTCTAATACAAGACCATGGCATTAAGGTCCCACCGCACGTGGAGTGCATGGCTGGATGTACGCCACGGCGGCATCGCTGGTCACGCTAGCTACGCGCCAATTCACACAGCCGCGGATGCTATACCATGGTAATGATAGTTATAACAAACGTAGAATCCTAAACATTGAACAGAAATTTCATTATGAATAGTGCAACAGCTGTAGTGGTAGTTGGTAGGCCGAGACTGCGACGTTGCCGCTTTGGTCTCGCCACGGCCTTGTACTCCAGGAGGCTATGATTGAGTCGCTTATAACTGTTGTGAATTCATAAAGCGCAACGCTTCACTCGATTTTAGGATAAACATATGGGAATTTTAGAAGGAAAAATCCTCCGTATGACTTAGATATAGAGTGCCTAAACATTATCCTAAAACTCACCTGTGACCACTTAACAATATTTTCAATGTCGGGTTCACATCCCAAGATGTAAGTCTTGTGTTTTCTCGTCCGTGTTTGGCAATCCAAACACATATTGTAGCAGAACCAATGGTCTTCGGCAGTTTCACGACTTCCTATCGTAACGTAATTTTCTCTCTCTCTTTTGTTATATACGAAATGTATATACGATTTTATATCCAAGTCCGAATTCGACTTGCAGGGAAAACCTGTTATTGAAACTATAACTTTATTTTTCGAAGACTTTATAACTCCAACGTGTCGTCGTTCATTTTCTAAATAGCATTCCAGAAACTTGTAATCTTCCAAAGTGTATTTCGACTCTAATGATAGATATCTTGCAACTGGTTCGGCTTCAGGCAGGAAATCATAGGATGTTTTTATGTTTTTGGCTGTAACTGAAAAGTTAAACTTATGTGAAACACTTAGTATTTTTATGTTTATTTTCTACCTCTAGCCATAATAAATTATCACTATTACATGTAATGACTCAAAAACCAATGTTTGTAAATATCGTCATTAATTAAATTCCAAACTAAATTTTGTTTATATTTTTAATATTTGGTCATGTTTATCTTATAAAAAATTTTTAACAATTTATTTGCCTAGATTTCCCCAAATAACCTGTGTTAATATTAGTAAAACCATATTGTCTCGACATATATATAATTTAATCATAATTTATTCATTGGCTTATCAAAATTATTATTACAAACTACCTCTACAATTAAAATACCATGTAGCTGGGTTCAAGATTACAAACAAATTTCAACACATGTTTTAAATGTGTGAACCCCATAGAAAGTCAAAACGGCACACGGAAGATTTCTCAGGTGCCGTTTGTCAATAACTGCTGACGTCACTTTGAGGGAACACCATTACCGCAACGATACGGGTGAGCTATCGGCCTCGGTGGTGTAGTGGATAGCGTGTCGGGCTGATGTACCTTCCTAAAGTACCGGGTTCGAATCCCGCTGGAAGCACTAGCTTTTTGTCAACAATTTTTTCATATCAGCAAGTTTGGTTGGTTTGGTTAGGTTATGACAGTTTCATTTTATAATTGAAAAATTGAAAAATTGAATTTTGGCATTTATAATTTTATTTTATTAACAAAACTATTTTTTAGATTAGTAAACCTTCATTCGATTTTTTCACTATCAGCACGTTTGGTTAGTTTGGTTAGGTTATGACAGTTTAATTTAATAATAGACAAATTATACAATTGTCTGTTTCTTCAGACGCAGCAGTTAGTGACGTCAGCAGTTAGTCAGTTAGTGACGTCAAAGTGTCAAACGGCACCTGAGAAATCTTCCGTGTGCCCCACCGCATAAAAAGTAAAGAAATGATCGTCAACAATGAACAGTGCAGATAAGGTTTCCATGAAGAAGAGATAATCAGTTAATATTTTAACTTAGTTGTGCTAAATTAAATTAAAAAGTAATTCAAATTATAAACTAAAGGGAAATAAAGAAAGAAGAATTATGCCTATTATCCAGAAGAAAGATTATTTAAAGAAGATTGTTGAGAAAATTCCATTTAATTATTAATTAATAATATAGACTTCATCAGCATCTATTTTGGGACTAGACCTACCTCCTTTTCATTAACATCAACAAAAGGAAAGAAAAAAATAATCAGAATCAAAATCTGGCTAAATTAAGTTATTGTTATTGTTTCCAAATTATTTTATTGAATTTTACATTAGGCCTAAAAGAAATCTTTTGATTCACAGTCTACTAAAATCCCCACCCCCTGAAGAGTTTTGTAACCTAGTTTTTATAAATAATTTATATACCATTAAACATTGTATTTTAAAACATCTGTCCCTCGTAATTACTATTGTTTAAACTTAGTTAAGATCAGAATAATTATAAAAATAACAATGAAATATATAGAGGTTTATTTCATACAAAGCTTGATATTTGTTACACATTACCGCTGTTGCTGTTACATTACTTTGAAACTGTGTCAAATATGTAGTTGATATGTTTTACATACTTTACACCTGCCTATTTATCTTGATTAGGCAAAATTCTTCTGTTTTTCTGGAATAGCGTGACATGATGTATAAGCCAAGACCAATTTACCGTATATCTTTACTACTGAAGAATCAAAGGGGGAGGGGGTCTGTTTGATTATTACGTTGAAAACAAATTAAGATGCTTATACGGGAAATACTTTCACCCTACATATTAGAAGTCATCTCTACTGTAAATTTGATCTAAGTTGTTCATAAACAGTCTTTGAAACATATACTAAATATGGCCAAAGAATTATAGTAGTTTTTTAATGTTTTAACTTAATTGTTTATTTAGAATCTTTTACTCCTAAATTCCATTTTCAATTTTTTTTTGCCCCAAAGGTTATATTGATAAAGTATAGTTTTCGTTAAAACTTCTTTGGATTGAGTTATGGTGGGATATGTACTTTCTGGGTCCTCTGAAAAAAAAAAAAAACGTTCGAAGTCGAACGACTTTAATGAAATGTGTCGTGGTTATTTGTTTTTTTCACAGTTCAATTAAACTTTGTCTGTCTCACAATTCAACTTAAATTAAACAACAAATTTCTTACCTTCAAGCGATGTGTAAAGTGCGTCTGCAGAAATCTGAAAAAACGCACCATTAAGAAACACTTTAAACACATACAAGATGAATGACGTCAAGGTGTTTCAACGGTGACATTCACCATAAAGTTCGATCTACTAGTAAAGCTGGCAAGATTTTTTAAGTTTTCCTCGTGTTCAAGTGTAATATTACTAAGTATTAACTACCTAATTGAGGTCTGAAACCCGTTAATCCAAAAAACTAAGTCCTTACCTCATTCCAATGGCCATCCTTAGGCTTGAAGTCATAGTAGACCCAAGCATCAAATGGTGTTGTTGTCTCATAATTTTTTATTTTTGGTGTAATACCGTAAGAACACCATTCATCATTTTCCGATCTTCGACTTCCTACTACAGTCACCCAATTATTTTCATCAAATTTGATTCTTTCAACAAATAATATTTTGAAAAAATTATCTTTTGACGAACAATCAAACATTTTAATAGTTACAGCGTGGGTTTTTCCTGCATCGGAGAACACCGAATAAAATGTCGAATCTTCCTGTTTAGAAGCTTTGTAGCATTCCAGAACCAAATTAGACGGTAATCTGTAGACTGTCACTAATGTCAGGGTGTTTTCATGCAGACCAACTTTGTATTCTTCATGTGCCGAAACCATTTCTTGAACTGTAAAAACAATCATTGGGTTATAAAAGGCTAATAATGTGTGAAACATCAGCAGGGGTTTTTTTCTACACTCACTGTGGATTCATATCCAGTTTAAAATATGCATTCAAGATTCTCCGCCGCTGCCTCAATGAATGAATTTTTATTTGTAACATTTAAGGGGAATTGTTTGAAACACAGATATGCTTACTTGAACTAGGTATGCTTGTTAATACAACTATTGATTGGGCCCAGCATCATTGTAAGCTTTGGGTTTGATATTGAAATTAACGTAATATATAACTAGGTTTAATAAGAAAAAAACAACTTTTGTACATAGTGACCTAGAGACTAAATATTTCCAGTTTTATAGATTCAAATATAATAATTAAGCTTTTTTAAAGGGAAGATTAAAAATATTGTATCATATTCTCTTTGTAAATGGAAACGCGTTCAAAGAACCTATATACAAATTTAAATGCAAGAAAAAATCTCATAATATTCTAAATGAAAAAAATGTTGTTTGTGAGTCACATATTACATAACGTGAAAAAAATTGGACTGATTTCAAACACCTAAAACCATCAGGTTTGTATTGGACTGTGTAAGTTATTTAAAGATAAAAACAATACTACATAAACCCTGTTTTAATACCAACTAGATAACCTGTTGCTCGAAATCGAGCAAAAATGCAACTTGTAATAAAATAATGAAGAAGAAAAAACATAAACAGCAAAACCTCAATCATAGAGTCACTCTAAAGTAATTCCTATGACTGATTATAGAAATATGAAAAATATTATGTTGTAAAAAATTATAAAAGTAATCTACGGTACAATAATATTTAAATAGAGATCCGTTCTCATACGGCTTTTGTTATCTATTATGTACTGTAGGCGGGTGCCTTCTATAAGAAAGTAGATATCAACCACACACTGTAAAGTGAGCTTTTCAGGCCTAACGTAGCAAACTAAATCCCTCTCTTGGCGCCAACCAGTACGACACGTACTAAAGCATAGTTAATTTATTTCTACGATATGTTCTGTTTTAGGCATGTTTGAATTAGGTGCCCCAACCAAAGTCTCCGGTTGGGAACATACGAGTGGATTTAAACGCATCTAGAACGGATTCACGTTTAACACTATTAGTATTTGAAAATAAAACAAAGATTTATTTGGCCAGGTGGTGCTCTGTTTTCAGATTTAAAATAGCTGCGACATATATACAGGTAGCATCATTGTAGCGAGGGAAGTCGCGGTTTACTTCTTTTGTCTCTTACCATGCACATAAGAATCTAACTCCTCGCAGCTCTCGTCTCTACAAAATTCTGCCACAGTTTTTAAAATTGGGCAAATGGGTTGGCATTGTAACCCTATTTCTCACGTATTTTTTCATTGCATTTTTTGTTTCAATTGTTTTACATGCGCTGTTGGGTTCCAATGTCGAACTTATAGATCCGTGCGTATTTAGGATTATGACCTTCTTGAGGAATTAGATTACCTACTCGGTGGTAAAACGTGTCATGGATCTTAAAATTGTGGATCCCCTGTGTGACCCTCTCGTCAAAATGAGCTTTAGAGCTGACCATGGCAAAGGTGGAATTGAATTGACTAATTTTATCCAGATAATTTCTGAATCCAAGCCTCACAGCTCTGTTTTTTTTCAGATTCGGAGTTTACAATAAGTTCCTGAAAGTATGATGAATTCTGCAAATGAGGTAAACGAACCTTTCATTTATTGCAACAAAGAGTAAAAATTTAACTGTCTCATCCAGTCTTTTCTTGCTTAAAATGTAAGCCACCACAATGTACAAATTTAACGTTAATTTGTCGGAGGTTAGATGTATCACCACGGAGCAGTACTGCCACTTTGTATCCATCAAATTGGGATGTTGATGCAAGTGGTCACTTTGGGGTCCCTCCAGCCACTCGCAGTTCTTCGTCTTACTGGTAGCATTTAATTTTAAACTGAGATAAAATACTAAAGTTAACCATTAAACAGAAAACACTACAAAGTAATATTGATACGCATAGTAAATTACATGATAATATGGTAATGTAATAGGTAACTTCACTGTGAATAATCACTTTCAAACATTCACTTAATCACTTCAAACTGTAACCAAAGCTTCATGATAGTTCAGTAAAATACGATGTAAGGTAAGTAAATTCAACTATTACAAACAATTTGTTAGCAGGTCTTGCTAGGAATATCTTTATTTATGAACCAGACTTAGTTAACAGATGTATGAAAATATAAAATTCCGGCTTTGCTCTGGAAGTAATAAGTCCTGAAGTCTGTGGTTAAACTTAAAAACTATTTCAAACTACGTCCATATGTTTAGTTGTAAACAAAGGGAATTGAGCTTGATTGTTTGATAATGTCAACAGATAGCACCGCCGTTCCCTAACTTTACCCCTAACTGTACTAATTGATGCCCTTTCTCAATACTCTGATACGTATTTGCACATCTACGTGAAAATACCTTTAATTTGACACATCAAACGTTAAAATCCGCCAAGCCGTTATAGAGTTATGACTGTGAAAAGAAAACTGCTCACGTATTTATATATATACAGGTATTAATAATTGCAAACATTATAACAACATTAAGTATCCTTTTAAATTCATTTTAATTAATGTTTCTTAATTAAAATGAATTTAAAAGGGTACTTAATGTTGTTATAATGTTTCCAATTATTAATATAGTAGTAGCCCTAATCACAACCATACTTGTTATATATACAGGTATGTATATAGATACAGATATAACAGGTATAGATATAAATATATATATATATATTTATTTAAATATATATCTATATAGATATAGATATAACAGGTATGTATATAGATAAAAAAAAACAATCAAATAAGTCAGCTGATACATATTAAAACTCAATGGTCTATTTAAAGACAGAACAAATCTTCCCCCATAAAATTAATCTTCACAGCCTTCTCTGAAGGTATTCTCTCTAGCTCCTCTACATAAGACTGAGTTTTCCTCAGCTCTTTAAAAAAATGTTTTGTTGTATATCATCCTGGTCATCAGTGTAGAACTCGTGAAGCTCTCTCCTCCTTTAACTCTAGTGTGAGTCCTCGTAGCTCATCCAACAACCCATTACATTCTTCTACAAACCGCTAAACCGCTTCAACTGAATGTCTACAGACCCATATCTATGTTATAGGACGTCTGCTAGTTCCTCTCCAGCCTTCTTCAGGGGTTTGGTCCTCGGTTTTTTGAACTCACCCTCACCATCATCCTCTTCACCCTCTACAACCACAAGACCCTTATCCTGAATCAATTGCAACAACTCCACAAACTGAGCTCCTAACCAGATCTTCCTGTAGTTTGTTCTTTCTCCTTTTGATGTGTTCAAACTGTCGGTAGGTATTTTTGTGTTGTTTCAACAACTGAATATGTTGTTTCTCCAAATCCTCGTATTTTTCCTTTGACATATCCACCTGATACGGTAGTATAGCCTTCTCTCACTGTCCAGTTGTGTCTTGGCAACCATAGCCTTACGGAACTTCTCCTCACATTCCCTTAGATCCATCCTGACAACTTGTATGCTGTTGACTTCCTCCAGAGAGTCCTCAGAAGTACAATTTGACGAGTTGTAGCTGTTCTTTGAGCATAGCTGAGATCTAGTATTGGTGACAGAGCTAGTTCTGGGATGTTTGGTACCTACCCTATTTTGGAGTGGAGTATATATCGTAGTTTTTAAAGTAATATTCGCTGTACGGCTGATGACCTTCTAGTTCCCTCATCCTGATTCCTCTGGCCTCAGCTCTCGCCTGTCTCTTGGCGGCCGATCGAGTCTCGGCCTCTATGATTATCTGGTCTAGCGCCTGGTGTTTAGATCCATTCCTATCGTGGCACCGGCCTCCTGTCAATGACTTGTTGTATCCCACTGCGTTTCCATCCTGCTTACTTGAGTGATCCTTCTGAAGCTCAATGATGAATAGTTTCAACCATTCTCATCCAAAAACCCTGTCAACATTTCCCCGAATAACATAAAGGTTGCCCACAGATATTTGATCATTATGACAAATTTTGACCGTTGCAAAACCTAAGGGGCGAATTATTTCTCCTGTATATGTTCCTAACCTTATTCTTGTTCTATTGAGAATCTTTTCTGGAAAATATTTTCTAAACAGATGCAAAGGTACGCAAAGGTACTGATAGCAGCACCAGTATCCAACTCAAAAGAGTTACTCTTGTCGTCAACGGTGCACTCTAACATAATTTTCCTCGGCCTGTTGACCACTTCTGGTTGATATGCACTATCAGAGAGTTTAGTAAATTTACTACATTTCTTCTGCCTATCCACAATGGGTAACATAGACATGAACGGTGGATTTTGACACTCACCCTCATCGTCATATCCATTATCTGGCGTAGCGTCGTCAGCTTGTCATATGTTTTCATTCTTTCTCCAACAAACTTTGCTGGGACTTTCCTTTCTTAGGCAATTCCAACACTTTATGTCTGTAGGACTTTCGCAGGTACTAATGTGATGGTTTCCTCCTCACCTAAAACAAGCTTAGGTACTACATTTCTTCCTTGCGAATACCCAGCGTTCTTCCTTGAATCTGAAATTGTTCTTCCACTATTGAACACGAATTTGATTCTTGGATTCTTGCTGTTTCACTTTTGATTTGTTCAAAGTTACTAGCTATTTCAAGACATTGGTTAAAACTTTATTTTAATGAGTTTCCATTAATTTTGACAACAACTTTCCATCATAAAGTCCTGAAATAAACTGCTGTCGCAAGTGGACGTCAGTTGTCGACGTGTAAAATTTTGGTCATTTGCAATCACATTTGCTGGCTAAGTTTTTTAGGTCTTGGAAAAACTACCTACAGATTCCCAAGGTTTCTGGACTTGTTTAGAAAACTTGTGTTGCTCCGCGATAATACTACCCTTAGGCTTAAGTAATATTTGTAAAATTTCACACAATTCATTGAGCGGAGCGAGCGAAGCGAGCGAAGCGCTTATACGTCGACTCTTATGCATT